AGGCCAGCTCAACTGGAAGGTCGGTAAATGGAAATAGGATAATAGGTTCCATGGCAGGTAGGATGCGAAGCTAGTTTGAAGGAGCCCTGCTTTTAATGCTTGTATCATAAATTATGTACAGCCTCACCGGCAGCAGTGTACGGTAGACGCATCGTATGTGGAACCGCGCGCTGGGACCAGATGGTCTGACCTGTCCATGGCAGCGTTTATTGTTCCTTCTAGGTCGCAGGGTGCTGGCCAACAAGGCACGGGTTTAAACTTTGTTTATACGTTTACTGCCTTGTATGGCTTACAAGCCTGGTCCGTTGTGCTCTGACCCTGTGAAAATTCTTAACCAGTAGGACATGTAACACTGCCACGAACCATACAATGATTATCTCAATGGCACATACACGCTGCAGCCTGTGGGTCCTAAAGCTTTAAAATTTCAGGTCTGACCAGAGAACTCTTGGTTGCCGGTGAAGTGATACTAATCGGCAGAACTGAGAGTAGACACAAACGCGGTTACGCCAACGACAGGTGACATTCTCCTAGCACAGTAGTGCCAACTGCAGTCGTGCAAGGTGGAGCTTTCGTGGGCAACTAACTTATCTTCGCATATGTTGAAATCAAAAGTCTCCTCTTTTTTACTGACACAACTGACGAGCATCGTTGGCACGAGACTCTAAACAAAGTTCTCAGTTCAAGTCGGACGCAGCTTCCCCCTTGTCAATTGCGAAATCGCTCACATGGATAAAGCCTTCTGCATTGCGCACATACGAAGAGAGGCTGAGAGGTATCACTTTTAATGCGAATCAGAGCAAGTCAACCTTGATAATATAAATGCATCCGTCAATCTGGCCCACGGTTCACTGTGACTAGGTCTGTAGAATGAGCATTATAATAACAATGCATTGATCTTATCCAGTAGGACATTTCTCCCTTTGGTCTCGCTCTTTTTTAGTCTCTCGACAACATCTCCACCAAACCAGCCCTTGACGGTCTGTTTTTCATCAGCGCTTCCCTCTTCCTTTATCCGCTGCAAAAATTCTGCAATAATAAAGGCACCTTCTCCGCCAGCCATGCTTACTGTCAAATCCTGACCAACAATGGACATGAACTCAGACGCGAATGCAGACGGGGAGAACGACGATGACCGAACGACGGATTTACTAGCATGCGAGAAATGCCCGCCTTGGAAAAGGGATTTATACATTCGTGATGTGTGCGGGAGGTCAATTGGATGAGGCTTTGAGGCATCCTCTGAAGGGTATATCGATGCTAATGGTTGAAGGAGGGATTGCATAGCCGAAGATTTGTCTAAGGAACAAACGTTAAAATTGATAAACATCAAGTGAAATGCACCCACCGCCGTCAGCGTAAAGCATAATTTCTAGTACTACCAAACTTCCACCGGTATCTCGTGCAGCTTCCGCGCCGTTGTCCTCGACGAACTTAAGCAACCCTTCACTTGCTGCTACCCGTATTTCACCTTCGCGAACAACTGCACTTTTCTTGCTGGTTTTGCTGCGTACAAGGTCTGTATCAGCAATTATCGCTATTTGGGCAGGTGTAAAATGTCGCCGTGATCGGGGCACAAGCAAGTAGAAAAGAGCACGTCGACCCTGTGGGGTGTTGACGAGCGTGGAGGCGTGGGTAGTGATATCTGAAACAAGGGATTTGGCCGTCAACTTTGTATCACTATAGGCAAGTGTGTCAGGGTTTATCAACACCGAGCCAATAATTAGAAAAACAAACTCGATCACATCTAGGGCAGTGAAGAGGACGAGCTGAGCCTCGTCATCTGTACACATACGCTCAACATGAGGTTTAATGACTTTGATAATTTGTTTTCGGTCCTGTACAACAAACATCAATATTCGCCACTTGAGCCAACATCTGAATGTACCTTGGCTGTCCCGTAGGCAATGAAATCTCTCACAACCCTGCTGCCGTCTTTTGTGTGGACCATCTCGGCAAGGACATCCTGGCAACTGTGGATACAATATTAAAGAATGATACATCTACATCAGTGAAGCCTGTATTTACCTTTCGAATATCTCCTTGCGAAGTTTTTCTCGTTCTGACTCATCTTCCGTGTCGTTGACAGCAGCTAAGTATTCCAAAAGCGCTCTGTGAACGATTGCATGGGTTATGGCGCCTTTATCGGAATTGTTAAAACTGTCAATAGTGTCATCGATTGGTGGATTACACAACGTTCAATTTCAGATGCTTACATCGTGGTTAGATTTTCTTTCAGTGCTGCCAGTACGCGTTTTCTTCGTTCGCCCTCAAGACCTTCAAGGACCCCAGAAAAGCCTTTTCTAGCGTTCGCCTTCTCAGGTTCAGAACCTTGTGTTTGAGAGAACAATGCGACTTCCTTGCCGTAGAAGTCGCGAAGAAGAATTGAACGCTCATATGCATTTGCATAAAGCTCGAAAGAATCGGCAAGGACTGCAGATGCCTCCCGGTGCAACAGTAGACGGAGTACGTTAGACTGGAATTCGAGCAAGATAGATGCACGATGTGCTGGACACAGTCTGATCAACTTGGTCACTAAGAACTACTACCGTCATCAAAAAAGGTTCAGTGGCGAAGATAGAACGGACAAACCTTCGAGTACTTGCTTTGAGCTAATGACTTGTAATGACCTTTAAGCTCCATCGCAACCTGGTCCCTCTCCTTTTGCCCACCATATTTCACAACAGTCTGGATAATCCTGCTTGCGTCGTGCTTTAGAACGATATCCTTGACTTTTCCTTGAGTAACTTTCATCAGTTCTTTCACATGCTTCTGTCGTTCCGCGGAGGGTATGCTTTTTTGCCGAGCTAATGACCAGACGCGCTTTGCATCCGCGAGTAACTGGGAATGTGGTTTAGCCGCTCGACGCTGTTCCTGTAGTACACGTTGGACTTTATGTGATTCTCTTGCAGCTATTCAAAACGTTATGAATCGTTTGCAGTTCAGTCCCAGTAACCATCGACATACCGTTGGGGTCTTTGATGGAAGCACCGTCCACAATCATCTCATCTGAGACTATCTCCTGGTCTTCAGGTTCTTCTTCCTCAAAATTATCTTCGTCCTCATCTTCGTCCTCATCCGACAACCCGCTTGCTTGTATTATTGGTTGTGTGACAGGTCTACTCCGTTTCTGAACTTTTCCTTCCTCGAATTTCGTCAAGGAAGGATTTTCGGATTGGTGTTTCTTGGATTTTGGGCCACCCTGTGAGACCGCTGGTCGTTTCTTTGATACGCTTTGCAGGCCAGGCATTGGAGAGGTAGGGACTGAACGCTGAGCAGTGAAGCTCTATCAACTTGTCTTAGACTTCAAGCTTCAAGTCTTCGAAAGTTTTTGGGCACTGATCTTACCCACGTGACTACTTATAGCGCCTAAATTGATTTACGCGCTTTTCTCTAGTCACCCTCAACTTGCCTGAAATTGAAACTACTGAAGCCCTGATGGCCCAATACCTTTTCATCATCATGATAAAGACCCTACGTGCTTTTTTTCTGTATGCTGAGATGCCCTCGCTCATCGAGTACACAGTGACGATGATTGTCATGAATGCATGGTAGTGACATGGTAGTCACGATATGTCCACCAGGATCGTATAAAATTTCCAACAGCAGAATAGGTGCAGTACAACTATACATATACATACAGCAACAAAATGCGGTACGAGTTCCTTGTTAATTCTTGACGCCACTCAAAAAACGTGTTCTAATCATAGAATACCAGAGTTCTCAGCTCGATGGATTCTCGAGGCGGCGCTCCCTCTGGAGTGTTTGGGTCTTGGAAGGCAGTATGAGGAGTTAACCTCGCGACACTCCCATCTTGTATCGAGTCAGAGCTGAGACCCTTTTAGCACGACAAAAATTACCCCCGAGTGACTTCGCTCACCATTTGATGAGAACAAACTCTTCTGGGGTCATTGCCTTCAAGTATTTCCACTGGTGGTTGGGGTTATATCTGACTCCAAACGTCTCACCCTCGCGGTCAGGGTATATGAGAGCGACAGGCATCAAGTCTTTCTCGAAATCGACACTCCGGAAGTCGCATAGTGCAAGTGGCCAATCTACAGCCGCATGTGATATAGGACGCCAAAGGTTTATGATTTGGAAGCGTCTGCGAAGGAGGGAAGGAGCTTCTGTTGGCGGGAGATGCCTGTGAACACGAGCAATGGACGCCGCGGGCGTTTGGTCCACATGAGCCCGGGAGACTGGCTGACGTTTCTGTGGGTTATCATCTGATTCGCCTGGGCGACGGCGACGAATAGCTATGACATGAATTAGGAATCAAGACGTCGTTCAAAATTGGTGGTCAACGTACTGTGGTCGAAGATGACAACCTTGGTCGCTCCTGTTACCCTCTTGATGAGGTCGATGCTCTCAGGGTAGTATTCGCGCTCAATCTCATCATCATTCAAGAAGCTGGTATGCTTCGGCGCCTCTCTCCCATACTGAAATCCGGCATTGTCAAGCTTGTAAAGTTCCTCCTTCCCGCGCACGTCCTCAACTTGCATATCATGCGGGTCCTCGCCCCAGTTGCGGATGAGCTTTCCTGTAGCGTTATTTCCGCTGACATCAGTATAAGGACGAGAGCCGTCGGGTGGAGCGACGAAATAGTTGAGGGTGGTGATGACGTCAGAAGTCATGGTTAGTTCGTTGGTACTGAATGGAAGTGTCCTTGGTATCACCAGTAAGTTATATCTTGTTTATGTATCCAAGGGCCGGGCAAGCCGTTTGGCTGACATATCACATTATCAATTCTCCTGGTCCGCTGATCGTTAATGTAGATGGAAAAGTATGACGCCACCGAACTTCGGTATGAGCAATAATCCAAAGTCGTAGAGCCTCTTACCTTGATTACTAACCCTCTCACCAGTCATCTCCACCTGGGCGAGAATTATCATCGTACACCGAACTGCGGGATATCCAAAGTCGTAGAGCCCCTTACGATTATGTCTCTCCCACCAAAGTCTCAACACCAGCATTGTCCAATGGGGCAAGAATTATCAGTTTCATAGCCCAAAACATTGTTGATCACTGCGTTGAAACTGCTCTGGGGTAAGCATGACATGAACACGTTTCAAATTGATGCTGGTCGACGTACTGTAATCGAAGATGACAATGCTGGATGCTCCCGTGACCCTCCTGATGAGGTCGATGCTCTCAGGGTAGTATTCGCGCTCAACCTCATCATCATTCAAGAAGCTGGTGCGCTTCACCGTTTCTCGCCCATACTGAAATCCAGCACTGTCAAGCTTGTAAAGCTCCTCCTTCCCGCGCACGTCCTCAATTTGCATGTCATGCGGGTCCTCTCCCCAGTTGCGGATTGGCTGTCCGGTGGCGCTATCTGCGTTGACGTTATGGTAAGGCCGAGAGCTGTCAGGCGGAGCAAGCATGCAGTTGAGAGTGCCGGTAGTGTCAGAGGCCATGGTTAGTCCGTTGGTGCTGGATGAAAGGCGGAATGAAAGTGTTCTTGGTATCACGAGTAAGTTATATCGTACTTATATATGTTTCCAAGAACAGGGAAAGCCGTTTGGCTTACATATCAAGTTATCAATTCTAGATATCCTGGTCCGCTAATCGTTAATGTGGATGAAGATATCTCACAAGCATGACGCCACGGAACTGCGATAGTCCAAAGTCGTAGAGTGCCACGTTACCTTTCCAGCAATCTCTGCTTGCGCGAGAATTCTTGATTCCGTAGCCCAAAACACTGTTGGCCATGTTGAAGTTGCTCCAGGATACATATGACATATGTAGCACAAATTGTTATTGATGATGTTGACCATTAGCGCTAAAAACAGGCAACATAAGTTACCTCTAGAAATAACCGGTGAAGCTGGGAAAGAAAGCCGCAAGCTCGGCAAAACTTTTCAAGGGGTCAACGTTTCAACCGCCCAGCTGAAGGAGATACTTCCCCGCGGGGGTCGTTGGTAAACCAACGTCACAGGTAAGGATGGGGATCAATTTCCGAAAGAAAATATTCATCAATTGCAAAGTCACCGGCAGATTACTATATAGGGGAATTACTGCAGGTACTACATGTAGGAGCATCGAGTAAGTGAAGAAAATGACATGAAATATGATATATCGACCAAGTACATATTGGAAATATCGACGAGAATGAGCATCAACTTCTCAACTTTGTCGCTGCGCATGGTCACTGCAGGTTCAAGTGATTGATCGATGAGTAAGAGATCGGGCTGAGAGACTTGCAGGGCGTGTTCAATTGATTATGCCTTGGATCATTGTATCGCAACCTGCCGGTAGGCATCAACAATTCTCTTCTTCGTCACCACAGAATGCTCGCAGGCTCAAACCCCAAGTCTCTCAGCCCGATCTCTTACTCATCGATCAATCACTTGAACCTGCAGTGACCATGCGCAGCGACAAAGTTGAGAAGTTGATGCTCATTCTCGTCGATATTTCCAATATGTATGCCATTTGACAGCAGTAACAATCCTGCCGAATTGATTAGAATCGTGCCCATAGGTATATGCAGGCTATAAAAGCTGGTCGTCGTCCTATAGTATTCCCCATCCTCAGACATCAATTTCTCTCAGAAGATTACATATTACCTCAAACAGAAAATGCATTTCTCCTTCCTCGCCGTCGTTGTTGCTTTGACAGCATCTATGTCTGTCAGTGCATGTGGCAGATGGTCAGCTCCTTGCAGCAACAACCCAGATTGTTGTCCAGGCTATCTTTGTAACCCTAACGTGAGTATGAGCAGGTCACTGCGCAACCAGGATTCAATCGCATGACTCACTTGCGCGCTTTAGAGAGCAGGAGTCAAGCTCTGCACAGCGGTTGGCAATTGAGCTGGAAGCCACATCGCGACAGTGAGTTATGTTTCTGCTCTCGCATTGGTATCGTGGTTGATGATGCAATACCTAGTTTGAAGTCAATCAGTACAGTTGTTTTTGGACAAATTTTTGTACTGTTTGAAAATATGTGAAAATGATCGACCGTGCCTACATAGTCTTGCACATCGTCCACTAAGCTTGAGTTCGAGAGGGAGGGATCATTAGCCCTACTCAATAACGATTTTATTTGACCGTTTTATTTGCCATTTTATGTCGCACTCGGGATGCTGTATTGAGTGCCATGATTCTGACGGAATTTGACATGAGAGAGCTGCCGAAACGACTGGATGAGATCAACGAAGTACGAGTGCTCGACATCGCAAACACTGATGGGCCAACATGGACCAGTAAGAAAACGCACACAGTCACCACAACACCTCAAAAAATCGCTCGATGCTCGCAAATGGCCTGGGCGTTCAGCTTGATTTCCTAAGCATGCGCGGTTAGCGTCGGACAACACTAGTACTTGTATTCTGACTGCATAGAATTTCATGACATAGCTCCACTCATGCCTGATAATAATTGTTAGTTCATGCATCACACAAATGTCACACTTGCCGGATTTACAGTGCGCTCGGCACACGTCAGATTCGTGAAACATCAACATTAATATTAAGAGTTATTAGGCCCACCGAGAACACATACCCAGGAGTGCTGGATGTGTTCGAGCAAGTGCCCATGCTTCATGAACATGCGCGGCCTCCTCCAAACACAGATTATAATGCGCTACACCCCTTCCTTCAATCAGTATAACGGTATCCTCATCCAGCATGCTGACACTCACCAGATGCCCTGCCCCACCACACCAGCTCGCCAATCTCATTTCTATACTGGTCGACGTCGTAGCGTGCCATGACGTATGATGCATTGATAATTGTAGGTACTGGAGTCTGAAACAGTAGCATCCCGCCCGCACTGTTGAAACTCCGCAATGACGAGCGCCGAACAACATAAGGTCCTGGAGTCCAATATATCATTTTATTTTATTTTTTGTTCCCCACGGCAATCTACACTCACTCGCTAAAATATAAAATGAGAAAAATGGAATGGAATTGAGTGGGGCTATATACTGGCTATATATTGTCAATTGATCAATACACGGGCGAATTGTGACTCTTGAGCTTGAAGCTTGAAGCTTGAAGTCCGTGATGAGTGGGAGGATTGTGGGAATGTTGAGGCGGATGCCATAGATTACTTATGTAATGTGGCGACGGGCAAAACGGTCTCATCAAATTGCATGTCCGACTCGGCAGTGGCGGTGCCGGCAGGCGGCAGGCGGCTGTCACGCGTGATCTCCACCATTTCTGAACGGATTTACTCTCATTTCCCTTGAAACATGATGGTATAATATGTAGAATGTGCTCAGTGAAGTAGCTAAGCAATTAGAATACAATTGAGTGCTATAGACGAAAATCACGAACTAACAAGCAGTCACGAACCATAGGGGATGCATCGGTCGACCTTGATTGGGACTCGTTTTATTTCTCACTGTCTGTCACCAGTATATACATTACTCAATTGTAAAAAATAAGATGCGGGCGAAATAAAATGGAATTGAGTGCGGCTGATGGTGCATATTGCATTTGTGCAGGTAAGGGAGTAACGAGCAAGTAAGAAAAATGACGTTGGATATCGACCGAGTACATATTGGAAGTATCGACGAGAATGAGCATCAACTTCGTCGCTGCGAACTTCAGTAATTGAGCGGTAAGCGAGAGATACAGATGAGAGACCGTGAGTTCGAACGAGTGTTCAATGGTGACAAAGAGAATTGACGATGCCTGCTGGCAGGTTGTGACGCAAATGATCCTAATAATCAATTGAACCCGCTCCTGCAGGTTCCTACTAGAAAATCTGCCACCTGACGGCAATAACAATTCTGCCGGGTCGATCAAAATCATGCACATAAGTATATAAGCTGGTCGTCGTCCTATATACTATAGTGTCCCCCATCCTCACACACATAATTCGAGATTCCTCAGAACATTACCTCGCACAAAAAATGCATTTCTCCTTCCTCGCCATTGTTGTTGCTTTGACAGCATCTATGTCTGTCAGTGCCATAACTTGCACCAACCTTCCGTTCCCTTGCCAAAGTACAGAGGAGGATTGCTGTCCGGGCACTACTTGTCAGCCTACCGTGAGTATGAGCAGGTCGCTGTGCTACCAGGATTCAACCATATGACTCACCTGCGCGCCTTAGGGTCAAGGAATCTCTATCTGCAAGTAAGCTAGCAATTGAGCTAACAACCCGAGCGGCACATCACAACAGTGAGTCATGTTTCTGCTTTCGATTTGGCATCATGGTTGATGGTGTAATACCTAGTTTGGAGTCAATCAGTACAATTGTTGTTGGACAAATTTTGGTACTACTCGAGCAATCAGCAATGTGGATGCTTGAACATCTGAAAATGAAAATGATTGGTCGTACCTAGTCTTGCTCATGGTCCACTAAGCCTGTGTTCGAGAAGCTGTCGAAACGACCTCATTATCTCTGTGCAGAAATTGTAAGGTCACCGGTCTCCTAAAGACATAGGCGAATTGCAAGTACTACATACAAGGGAGCAACGAGTCAGTGAGAAATATGACATGAGATATCGATCGAGTACATATCGAAACTATCAACGAGAATGAACATCGACCTTGTCGCTGCGAGGTTCCAATGCTTGAGCGATGAGTGAGGCAGATGAGGGACCGGGGGTTCGAACGAGCGTTCTAAGGCGACGAAGAAGACAATTGTCCTAATCAATTGAACACGCTCCTACAGGTTGTGTATTTCTGCCACCTGATAGCAATAACAATTCTGCCAAATCAATCAGAATTGTGCCCATAAGTATATGCAGGATATAAAAGCTGGTCGTCGTTCTATAGTGTCCCCCATCCTTAGGAATATCATTCGAGATTCCTCTCAGAAGATTACCTCGCACAAAAATGCATTTCTCCTTCCTCGCCATTGTTGTTGCTTTGACAACATCTATGTCTGTCAGTGCCGTCGCATGTACCAACCTTCCATTCCCTTGCAATACAAATGGGGATTGCTGTCCGGGCACCACTTGTCAACCTGCCATAAGTATGAGCAGGTCGCTGTGCTACCAGTATTCAACCATATGACTCACCTGCACGCCTTAGGGTTCAGGAGTCTCTATCTGCAAGTAAGCTAGCAATTGAGCTAACAACCCGAGCGGCACAACACAATAGTAGGTTATGTTTCTGCTTTCGCTTTGGCATCATGGTTGACAACATTGATGGTGCAAAACCTAGTTGGTCGATCAGTCGTTTTTGGGCAAATTTTGGTACTGCTCGAGCAATGTGGATGTTTGAACATCTGAGAGTGATTGATCGCGCCTAGTCTTGCTCACGGTCCACTAAGCTTGAGTTCGAGAGGCTGTCGAAACGAGCGGTCATTTCTGTCGATGATCAGTATTGGAAGGCCGTACGAAGATGGAACGCACTGCACTGATATTTTCTTACGATCTTGAATCTGTCGTTTAATGCTGACCTCGAAGACTAGCTGTGTGTGTGATGGAGTCAACGAGACGTCACTTCAATCGTGATTCATGATAGACGTGTTGTTTTCTGGTATGTAGCCAAAGCCCAAGGTCATACTGAAGATATGGTAAGGGGGCGACAAATATAAAGAGGATTGATTGATATTACTTCGTGCGCAGGACGTTCCATCAAAGAGTAGCGTTGGAGCTCGACAGTGATTCTGCGAGTGTTGGATGAGGTGCAAGGGACACGGACACGTTTGATGAGAAAGAGGAACTTGGAAGAGCGTTGAAACGTTGAAACGTTGACACCTTGATAGTAGTTTCGTCGACACTGGGTTGTCGGATGTCCCCTTCCTTCTTTGACAGAACGACGTCACGTGCATGGAGGACCAGGCCAATGACGAAGTTGTCCTTGATGATGAAGCTGCCTAATGACACGAGGCTGCCTGGCCAATTATTATATGAGGCTTCCCCAGGCCCATGATGATATGTACTGCCCATTTGCATTAATGACGGAGCTGCCCAATTGAATATATTGAATGATGAAGCCACGCTGGAGACACGTGACCTATTTCAAAGTAGCTTATCTAAGCTAAATGAAATTCAAGTCCAAATTCAATGGCTCTGCGCTTTCTAAATCGTCCTCACGACAGGACAAATTCCAGATAGAGTGGTCAGTTTTCGGCTTCAAGCTCAAGCGGAAACGAAGTGAGCGACAGTCGACAGTGGTCAGATGACTCGGGGCATCGCCACCAGTCATCTGAGTTGGTAAAAGCTACTACGAGCAAATGCCCTCTGGACTCGGAGTCTGGGAGAGCTGCGGCAAGAGTACTGTCCCTGTGGAATCGAGTCGCCCATCACGAAAGCCAAAGCGAGCGCATACACCGAGGTCTAGTCACGTTCCAGAGTCTTCACGACGACTCGAGTTATCTTGGCCAAATGGTCGACCGGTCTTCCCCTATCCATCGCAATGCTTGCGTTTGTCAGCCTGGCACGTCATCGTGGAATGGAAACATAAAAGGGGGGAAAGCAATCAAACGAAAACTCAATTTTCTGGCTAACAATGTCTACAGTCTCTGCAGAACTCGTATACTTCACTCCGCCCTCTGACGGGTCCCGCCCATTCACCACGATAAATGCGGATCCAGCGACAGGCCAGCGTGCACGTAATTGGAAGAACGAGGAGCATATCATCGAGATTGAGAACGTCAGAGGCAAAGAAAGTGACTACACCTTGGATACTGCAGGCTTTCAATATGTCACGAAGCCCTCCAAACACAGCGCCTTTATCAATGACGAAGAGATTAGAGGAGAATACTATCCAGAGAGCATTGAACTTCTCAAGGACATCACGGGTGCGAGCAAAGTCGTCCTTTTTGACCACAGTACGTGTGAAGCGAGCGCATCGTACTCCAATATCTGACTTTTGTTGGATCTTAGCGGTCAGACGCCATCGCCCTGGAGATGTAGAAACGGACGAAACAAAGCGTCAACCTGTTAATCAGGTTCATGTAGACCAAACTCCTGAGTCGGCCACCGCTCGTGTTCATCGTCATTTACCTGTCGGCGAAGCGGAGAAGCTTGTCAAAAAGCGTTTCCAGATTATAAACCTTTGGCGACCGATCTCACACCCTGCAGTCGACCATCCATTAGCGCTGTGCGATTACAGGACTGTCGACGCAAAGAAAGATCTCGTTCCTCTCGCATTGATCTATCCGGATCGTGAGGGCGAAACTTTCGGGGTCAAATTCAACCCGACACATAGGTGGAAGTACCAAAGAGGTATGAAACCGGACGAAGTAGTCTTGATCAAATGGTTCGCTCATTATGTTTTGGTCTGTAATGATGCGCTTACCTCGGCCACAGCTACGATTCGGCTAAGGGTGATAACATTGCTAGGTTCACCCCGCATACTGGGTTCAAGGATCCCTCGGCACCACAGGGAGCACCGCTCAGGGAGTCTATTGAGCTTAGGGCGCTGGTTTTCTATGACTAGAGGGTACCATTTCTATGGCGTCCATGTTCGCTTGCACCTTCATGCTTCATTTCACATCTCTGCATTTGATTACGAAAGTGAACGTGACCGGCCCACTCTTTTTTAAAACGATTGTAAATATGAAGTTGTTATCCTGTCTCTGTCATTAGACTTGCTCGTGGGTTTCTTGGGAAACCGAGACGACCACTCCTTGACTATCATTTCTTTCACTGATAGTCGGTATTGTGACAGGTCGCATCCCACAGCAAATGAAGCTATACTCGTTACGTGTGGCTCTATTCATTCTGATGTAGCTATTTCTTGATTTGCAGATCTTCCTATCTTCTTCCGGTCACTCTAGGTAATCATAAAAGTGGGTGAAGAAGAACAAACGACAGTCTGATATGGGTGTCAAACTGCCAAGTGAGACACGAACCAAAGAAAAACATTATCAGCGAGCCAGTTGGTGATCGGGGTATAAATTCTCATCTGTGGTCTGCACTGGAATGTTGCTGGAATGAGCGATTCGAATAGTTCTGACGACCTATATATAGTAGGGTTTCTCTTAGCACCTCGCAGGAATGGAACAATTGACTTTTTGAGGCACGGGCGGAGGCTTGCAGTAGAATGAGCAAGAAGCCCAGCAGGACCAGCAAATTCGAGATGTTTAGCAGGCTAATAGTGTAACAATCAATTTCCTACGCAATTTGTTCAGTCCGTTGTACCAGAACGATGCGCGCCTCAATTCTTTAAATACCTTTCTCCCAACTCATGATGAGTGCACCATCGAGGAATATTTAGCATCGCGACAATCAATGTAAATGGATACCGGTGTTACATGAGATGGCGGCTGGCATTGATATGGTCAAGTGATACAACGTGCTGAGGTATAGAACATCAGACAAACAGCATCAGATCTTGCGATGAACCACACTGCCTTGCTCGTGGTAGCGAACATTAACAATGATCATATAGTCCAACTCTCAAGTGTATTTCATAGCACGAACGCCGTGACTACCAGTACTGCAGTGATTATTTAGCTCGACACCAGCAACACATGACAGTCAAACGGACCAGCGATTTGATGAGCATCCCTTTGCTTGAGACGCTCGGCGAATTCGGCGAATTGTGCGACTCCGAAATGGCCGAATCCGTGTCCATCAATTCATTACCACAGAAGAACTGCCTTTAACACCTGTGTATTATCCATGTTAGGACCCTGGGTCATGGGTGGTTCCACATAAGTAATTGGATATGGCGTCAAGGAGCGCTTCCACATGTACATTCCAACCGACAAGAGCGGGGCAATTTCACTGTGTAAAGACTCCGAGATCTGAATCATTAACCAGGGCATGGTCACAGATAAGTTGAATGGTGCTATTCGAGGGAGAGCGAGGTAGATAGATTGTCAGTGAGTGACTCACAATTTACCTGTATGCGTTCTTGTTAGGGATGCGATGAGACTGCAGCGGGTGCAGCAGTAAGTAAAACATCCAACAGAGAGAATGCATATATCTGACATCTCATATGATGCAACAACATATCTTAAGCAAGAGAAATAGCAACTAGGCTGTCCTGCTTTCCATCAAATGATAGCAAAGATGACAAAAAGAAATGGAAGTACATGAGAACAATTGTACCACCGAGGATCAACGCACCAACTTATAAATAATCATACATTCCTCCCAGAGCTAAGTTCCATTAATCGAAGCCGACTTCCCGCATAGCTTTAGATCTGGAGAATGGGCACATGAGGATTCCGAAGCAATTCCCAAGTGCCTGAAAGCCTATGCAACTCAAATGCAAATCGGGTTTTGGGTTAGAACTGTAGTAACTAGTGACTGAAGAGAATGAAGCCGCATTGGAGGTTTGAAATTTGGTGTTCGACAGAATCAACTGAGGATTGAATCAAGTCAATTTTATTTTAGACCGAATGATCATCATGATGCTCGACTCAACAGCCTGTCGGAGTTAGAATTAACTTTAGCTCGCCGCTAGCTAGTACGTACATGTTAAGTACACCCATCAAAGTCTCGACTGGCAGACTTGCCATATGATGTCAACCATGTGTACCAGAATATGAGCGCTTGAGCCACTACCTCCTTCCGTCGTGCATCCTGTGCTCCAATTACACAGTGCGACCATCATGATCCATACATCATGAGCAAGGCACCCTCCGCCGAATCTGCTAGATCCAAGTCACACACTGCAATCACGGCCGTATTGCTGCGCATACTACTGTATGTACTAGTACTTATCTTCAACTGCTCGCTGCATTTATTCACACGTTGGACCACAAGAAATATGTCAGTCCCAGACACCTTCAATTTGCAACTAGTAAAGGTAATTCAGTCGTGCTTTGTCTGCAACCCTTCTCTAACGTGTCTCGTCAACGAAGTACACTAACGGTAAGGTCAGGTTGATGACAACGTTCATCGTTATTCACGACTCAACTTTAGTCGCCGCGTTAGCAGTCCTAGTAAGTTGTGCTGTTTCAATCTCATCGATGATAATTTTGATTATCACCAGGCTTATGACTACTTTGTCACGTTACACTCTGAAGTCAGCAAAAATAGACCTACCATACCTTGGTGCTGATCTTTTTTGTAGGTCCAGTGGTCTTTGGGACGGAAGTGGGGGGTCGTTCGCACTACCTTCATGGTTTCGCGATATGTGCCTTTTGCTGGTGCAATCATGACCTCGTACAGTGAGATACTTACGCCAGTGCGCACTACTACACAAAAGCTTATTCTTGACTAGCTGCTATTAAGACATGGGGCACGCAAAATGTGGGTATATCTTCGATCTGTGCAGTGACAATCACCCTCACTACAACTCACGTCAATGCAGTGTGTGCCATTTAATAATGCTACAAATGGTTGGTTCAGACGATTTTCATCACACGGATTTGCAATAACATTTTTCAGGTATGCATTTCCTAGGAATCATTGCCTCGGAAGGTTAGCTTTTTTATACAACGTTACGGTATGAAACTACATTCAAACGCAGGATTGTTGATTGCCAGAATATACGGCTTTTCTGGCAATAACAACACTTACCTGATCGTTCTCCTCTGTTTTGCTTCGGTACAATGATATCTCTATTTCCCTCAAGCACCACTGACTCGTGTGGCGCAGACCATCTTGGTGATGGCTGTGATTATAAGCGCTGTCCCTATCAATTGGAACATGGCAGGTGAGGTCTCAAGGTTCATGTCCTAGTCATATGTAGTATTCATTCATTCATTTTCAGGCTCCCCACCTTGCGCGTTTGAGGGGAGTCGTCATAGTGCCCTTCCGTATGGACTCTTAGTGTTCCTCGAGATCGGTGAGGCGATCATTCATTCAAAAGTTCCTTACTTGACAATTCACTTATAGTTCTTATGTCCACCACCGCATATTTGAGATATCGACATTATCTTGGTTCTCATAGCACGCTGATGAGAAGTATCTATCGCGATGGACTGCTCTACATGTTCTGCATCATAAGTATGAACACCATCAAATTATTGATTTTGTACTGACATCTCTATAGTGATATCATCAGCCAATGTGATCGTAATCAGCGTCCTACCTGTAAGTTCATTCTTTGTTAAGTTGATCTTGAAGAATTGAGTAGACTCCTAGCTCTCGTACAGCGAGATGCTAAACGCGTTAGTCTGGTCGATCATCCATGTAGATTTATATCTGAAGCTCATCCCCCCATTTTAGACCCCAGATTGTTATACATAGCGTTCTTGCTTCTCGCATACTGTTCAATCTTCCAGTGAACAAGGCGCCGGTCTTCCCCACATACCAATCGACGCCTTCAACGGAAATTTTATCGTGTCCACCCGAGTTTGATGCGATGTCTGAAGGCGGTCAGACAGTTTGTGACGTTGACCACAATCAAGTTTAGATTGCTAATTCTGTAGGTGAGATTAGCATCGATAAGCTTTTGTCATTTGAGTTTGCTGACTATGAATTTTTCACATTCAGTTTGTTTCTCTTTATCGCATTGCAGTGCTTATCTACTGTACTACACAGACGCATGCGTCTTCAGTACTGCTTCGAATCACTTATCAGTGGATATTGAGGGGTAATTCAATTTGGTCACACCTTGTGAACTTTCGTCCCTCTTGATCACATGGGCGTGATACAATGGATTATTTGGGAATGCACTCATGGTCACGATGTCAGGCTCTCCAACGACTATCTTAAACCCGCAGGTTCTCTGTTACAGCATTTCCAAACGATATGCCAAGACCACCAACAGATTCCGCGGTCTCTGATAAAGCCTGATACAATACTAACTTCTCGACAGATCAGGAAAGGTTCAGGGTCTGCACAGGTAACCCACGAGAGAATGACTGTGATAGTACATAAGGTTAAGTTATTCACGGCATATTGTGGAGGAGCCCTATATACGATATTTCTTACTCCTCCTAGCGCCTGGGTACGCAATGGTGTCTGCTGCAGATTTCTTTCAACAAGATTTTGATTATATTATCATTGGTATGTTAAGTTATGCCTGCGTGTGATGTCTTGATATAACATTTTTGCAGGAGGCGGAACAACTGGCCTTGCATTGGCCTCAATGTACATACTTATCATGAGATCCATGTTCTTCTTTCCCTTCAAATCTAACTTTGGGATGTTGTAGCCTTTCAACTAATGCTAGTATTCGTGTAGGAGTCATTGAAGCAGGTCTGAGGAAGGATGATGAGATGATTCTTGTGCCTGGTAAGGGGTCCAACAGTGACTGGTTGACCTTGCGTTCATGAACTTTTTTTTTCAATTTCCCTTTGCAAAGGCTGTTGGAAGTGAGTCTGGAGTTGTGCTTCAAAGATAGCGCATCACAGTTCAAGCTCAGACCCTGAATATGACTGGAATTTGGTCACAAAACCTCAACCATTCGCTCAGAACAGGGAGATATCAATCCCTAGAGGCAAAGTTCTTGGTGGCACATCAGCCTTGAATTATATGGCTTACTGTCGGTGGGTGCATGGATACTATGTGCTCGTGCGATCACATGCTAACTTTCACCTTCATAGCGGTTCCGAGCTCGAGCATAACGGTTAGTACCAATGACTATGCAACTCAATTGATAACGTATGTGCCGAAAGACTGGGAGAAACTCGGCATCAAAGGTCAGTAGTACATCATTTAATACAGAACGGAACACATCACCTATTTCACTCGTTTAGGGTGGAATTGGAATGCCATCAGTAATGCAATTAGATCTGCTGAGGCTTGGAGCCCTCCAACTCATCACGCCAAGGCACACCACGCAGATAATGTTGCGAAAAATCATGGCAGGTAGGACTAGCATCGTGGATATAAACTTATGTGGACGTTTCATTCTCGAGCCAGGTACGGCTATGTCAAGACGAGTGCATACAGCTACTATTATGATCTCGTTTTGCCATTGTTTGAGACCATGAATAAGATGGGTGTGGTCACTAACCAATCTGAAGTGCGTTTGAATATTGACAAAGTGAACACAATTGAAGTTGTTATTAGGCCTCCGGAGACAATATAGGTATTTGGACGTACACAGCGTCCATTGATCCTCAAACCAATACACGCTGTTACAGTACAAATGTAAGGCGATAGTAAGTGCTTGAAATAATTGATACTGAATTATTTTTCCAGGCGTATTATGATCGGGTTTCTGACCGACCAAACATCATTGTACTCACTGGCGCACAAGCTTCTAAAGTGATTTTCAGACAAACCTCCAGTAGTGATCTGCAAGCTACGGCAGTTGAATATCATAAAGGAGGACGGACTTACAAAGTCCCTGTGCGCCGGGAAGTTATCATATCAACTGGTATGTGCCTATTGTGGTGGTTGAAATGTTAACCCAAATGATGAGATTTGAAGGTGCTCTGCAAACCCCCCAGATTCTAGAACTTTCAGGTGCGGCGCTCTAACTATAGTATCAGATGGTCTGCTTAGTTTCCAATTTCTACATTAACAGGGATTGGGAATCCCGACCTCTTGCGTAGACTGAATATTCCTGTAATAATTGATTTACCTGGCGTTGGCGAAAACCTTCAGGTCCGTGCCACCTCCAGATGAGAAGCGAATAGGGCCTGATATCTGTCTTAGGACCACCCTAAGGTATCCATCGGCGCAGAGCTGAAAGGCTCGCACGAGACCGTGGATGATCTCAATTCAGAAAGCTTTGCTCAACAAAAACTAGAACAATATCGTCTTTCCAGAACAGGGATGCTCAGTAGCACACTATCTACCGTGGTATTCGTTCCATCGTCATCTTTCATTCCACCCGACAAGATGCGGAATATATTGTCAACCCTGGACGAGGCTCTACAATTACCGCAAATCCAAAACTCGCCCTGGAAAAAATGCTACGAAGTCCAACGCGCCTGGCTTGAGAACAATGGTATTGCTCAGTTAGAGGTGGTTTTAGAACCTTGTGCGTCTTTTATCTGTCACGTATAGATGTAGTGTTGATCACCCACAGCTTACACCCACGTCGAGTGCACTGACGAAAACGCTAAGCATTACATGATATTGGTCTTCTTGCAGCATGCTTGGAGTCGAGGACATGTCTGTTTGTTTTTCTTGACATTGCCACTTGAACTCATGCTTCCACCGCAGGTGCATGCAACTTCTTCATCTGTGTTGGATTCGCCAGAGATTGACCTGGCAATGCTCGATTCTCTGGGAAACATTGGTAAGTGAATCGTTATTCCTCGCAGGCAGATCATTGAACCTTCTTCGAGACATGATGATGCTTTTGGAAGCTGTGAAATATGTTTTCAAGGTCATGGAGACAGGGGCTCTGGGCGACTTGACTGCGGAAATCATTGAACCTAAACCTTCTTGGTCAGATGAACGACTGATGGATTACATCCGCTCAGATATCGCCAGCGGATTCCATCCTATCGGTGGGTCGTGTAACTTGACAGCTGCACACATTTCTTATGCAAGTTACTCTTCAAAAGGGACAGCTTCGATGCTCCCTCGATCCGCTAATGGCGTCGTCGATAATGAACTGAAGGTCAAATTTAACATTGAGTATAATTATCTGTTAAACGAACTCACGGATTCTTTACAGGTGTATGGGACAACCAATCTGAGAGTGGTGTGTATATCTTTCTTGACAAACTGAGCTCAGCTTCCTTAACATGTACTTCACAGGTGGACGCCAGCGTTTTCCCAATCGTAAGGCTGAAAGTTGTTACCTTGGAGATACTAATACAGGTGATCTTAGCATGTGGGAACTCATCCTCAAGCCACACTTTATGGGTAAGCCATTAACAATGATCATGCAACTTGCTCTGAGAAGATCTTTCCAGGTTAGCTCACAGAGCCGCAGAAATCATTCAAACCAGCGAAAAAGTTGAACTTTGATATCCTCGATGGAAAGTATTGTCCGTAGACGACTGTTTATGCAAGTTTATGTATCAGCTTTTCTCCGCGGCAACAATTCCATAGATATCTCAAGCACCGATAGTTCCTGTCCATGTCTCAATCAAGTCGATTACACAGTAACCTTTCACAGGCACGTATTGCTTAGTGATCATCTTGATCACTTCTTGAGCGACCATGCCACCAAGGAAAGCTGCAGTGTTGGGCAGCTCGGAAAAAGGTGCTCGAGCACTAGGTAATGACATAAGCCATAAATTTAAACCAAGATGTAGCCCTACTCACATCTCACCAATTGCATCGTCAGCTTCAACAGGAAGCTCAGTAGATTGTCCGACAATGGACTGAATATTTGCACGAATGGACTCGGCCGATGGTGACACCGAGGTGTCGCTCGCTTGAAGTAACGAAAGCGCAGAAAGCGCTAGATGTATACACGTCTCTTTCGGCATCGTTGATAACGACTCCACTAACCCAACAGATGAAAGTTAGCGGTCTGAGAGAATGCAAGGTCACAAGGTGTTACCTAGAGCAGCTTTGTCTTGATCGAATGTACCCCAAGGTTTACCTCTAAGAACGACCAGAGCATGGGCGTTCTTGACAAATGAATCAACCATGCCGTCGTCGACCGGTACTCGGAGATAGCTCTTGAAAGCCTGTTTTTCTTCCTCCGCCCTCGTTTTGTACAGTCGCTGCAGATGTATGTAGTTATGGGTGTCAGACTTCATATCTGGCAGAGTTGATGTGAGAGGGAGCGCGTGTGTGTCAGACTGTTCCGTGTACTCCTTCAGGGCGGCGAGAAGATGGAAGAAAGGCGACTCCATGGCTTCAGTAGATAGCGCGGGGTCACTAAAAAGGGCTGTAATTTCCGAAGGAACCTAACGGAACAGTTAGGCAAAAACTCAAGATAGATGAAACAACAATAACCTTGGTTTCCGTCCAACACCTGTATGCTTGTGCTTCTGCTTCGTCGAAGTTTTCTTCGTCGCCTTTCACCTTTAGCGCAAGGACGCTTTTCTTAAACTGTTGTCTTTCTTCGTACGATGTCGGTAGACCACCACCATGCTGTATGATCCCTCATGAGCATGCATTCCACCTGAACAAAGACTAACTTACAGATTTCTTCCAATCCTCAAGCGCACGAACTAAAATCACCACGTATGGTATGTGTCCGTGCTCTGTAGAATCCATATTGTCAAACTCCAGCGACAGCGCGTGTTCTCTCAAAGCTGGAAATGGTTTGTCGATACGGAGAGAAGGAGATGTTTCCGAGTGACTCTCGATGACTTGAAAACGTCATAAGCACATTCAAGAACACAAATTTGTACGTACTTGTGTGCTCATGGAATTGAATATAGAAGTCTGCCAGGAATCCAGCTGATCGGACAACCACAAGAGGCGGGTATTTCGCATCTTTCCAAAGGAGTGCGGAGAGCTTGTTTAAGAGTGCATGATCTAGGTTATGGGAAATGACGATAGTGAACGAAGTGATCCACTCAGGGTGCGACTCGAGGATGCTCTCGAGAGTTCTAGTGTCAGCACGACCTTCAACGCCGTCATTTAGCTCGCTCAGAAGTTGGACAGCCTCCTCTGCTCTAGACTTTCCAATACTATTGTATCCTTCTAAGAAGAAGTTGTTACCGGCATCAGAGTGTGACACCTTGGCGTGATCAAGGATAGTGAAGTGTCCGATGCCAGGAAGCACAAGGTTCTTCAAGATTGAAGTTGAAGTGGCGGATCCAGATACCAACAGTACCCGAGAAGACTCTAATGCACTCTGTCCAGTCGCTGCCCACAGGCTTATTCGCAAATGTTAACTGGGCCTCATTTGTATAGTTCTCCTAAAGCAATCTTACCGGAGCTGACGGTCATATCTTCGGGTTTTGGTGTCTGGCGCAGACCTATTTCTGGTCAGCCGACAAGTCTTGTTTTGCTAAAGAGATCATACTCTATTGCAGTGGTTGCAGTCTCGATGTCCTGAGAGTCCTGACTAGACATGATGATCGAAAGTAAAGACTGTGAGCCTGTGGCTGGCAACTGATAAGTAATACTAAAGGTGACAAATTGACGCGTACAGTCACATATTTGTCACACTGCTAATGTGACAGTGTCTCTTCGACCTTCACCATGACAGACACGCGTCAGTTCGGTGATCTTGCAACTCAGCTCATTGCCGAATCTCGTAGATCGACCCTAACAGACACTCTTCTCAAATACAATGACAATCTTGTCCGATCCATCATCCGGGAACAACGCGATCTCGAAAAAATGACCGAAAACAGTCAGAACGTCACTCCAGCGATGCTCATCTATCAAACAACCATTGTACGAAACAAAAGATGTCTTCTAGCATATCACAAGCACCGTATGGATAGACTGCGCGATATGTACTGGACCGCAGGAGGCGCTTTACCGCATATCCTCAGCAATCAGGATATTCGCAGCAAGCTCTCTCCTCATGAAGTCGACTTCCTCCGCCAATATAGCACGTCTGTGATGGATTATCGTGCTGGTTTTTCCAACGAGCTCGATATCACAGCCAGTATCACACATCCGCCCAAAGACTTGCATGTTCTGGTTCACGTTATCAGGGATTGTGGGATCATACAGACAGAGCTCGGGACCATCGATTTTCAGAAGGGACAGAGATTCATGGTTAGGAGGGCTGATATTGAACACCTCATCGTGCAAGGTTATCTCGAGGAAGTTTGATAGTGCGCTGCAAATTTTTCATTAACAAAAAGGTTTTGACCATGATCAGAAAGGAAACACGTGGCGGTGTTTATTTCTGGTGCTGCCAAACAACTCGGCACTTTGTCCAACGTGTCTACGCGTTACATCAAGTACTCCACCACTATGATGCGACGTGGACTTCGCAATTGCTCAAGATTGTCATCAAGTGCATCGATCTCACAAAATCGCTTTCCTTCATCTCCTAAATATCTGTCCACGCATTTACGAAGGTTGTCAACCGCAACTCCTACGGCTTCTCCATTCCTTACCGTCCAGCCAACAAACAAACGTTATGATCTCTCTTTTTCTGAGGGCCCTAGTCCTCCCATGTTTACGCCAAATAAAGGGGGTTCCGGCGGTTCTGAAGACATATCTGACCGTGAATGGCAAATCCGGACAGGTCAGTCTGACTTGCTACCCTTGGGAGACACACTGATGCTATCATCAGATCTCCATATAATTATCATTCTTTTTGATCGTACGTTACCATATAGGCCGCGCCATCTATATCCTACAGCAAACGCTTCCTGATTTCTTCGATGTCGGCCTTGTCTCAAGCATAGACCCCACAAAGACACCAGCTCTCATAGATTCCAAAGAATCGGATTCGCTGGAGGTACAAAACATCTACAGTCCAAAAGTGAGGTTGATGTACACGCCCCCTGTTGCCCTTCCTTCGCCATTTCCAAGAACGCTTGGCCTGGAAGGTTAGTAATGTGGTTAAATTACGTTCCTGTTATTAACAATAAGTTTCATTAGGGCTACCGCTGTACCTGGCTTCCTCTGTCTTTATCCGGCACACAATGAGAACATTGTACTCAGACCTTCGCGTAGAGTTACGCAAGGTGGCGGTGCAAGGATCGCCGCATTTAGAAGGTGCGGCAGCCGGAACCCACTCGAATCACCAGCGAGACAAGAGTCTCTTCATTGGCCTGGATGTGTATGGCACGACACGCGTCAGCGGTGGGGTTGGGCGATGGCAGATGTCAGGATTTTTACCATCAGTACTGATTCTTACTGACCATGATCGAGTAGAGACTCGACGTACAGCTTTTCGCCTATTTCTGGGCTGATACAGACTCATACCATTGACTCCATACATCCAGCGCCACATCAAGCTGCTTATGATGCTCTAAGAGCATCGCTCAGTAGTGTGTTCGGCTTCGGCGGCCCTGGTCCGGGGGATATTCGACCAGGAGAGGTTAGGGCGGTTAATAGCGATAAAGGGTGACCTAGGTCCTAGACTTGTTCTTTTATATTTCCTGCGTTCATCTCTTCGCCTTTATTTATCCATCACGTCGTTAACCAAGAGATGAGCCACGTCCTGTCGTCGGCTGGGCCCTGGCTGGCGTGAGAGTCGGCAAATAGCGTATATCCACATCCCCGCCACTTCTTTCCATCATTAAGCTGATGTCTAACTTGTAGAAGACGAAAGAAAGATGTCAGTCGGTCTGCTTGCCCCGAGATGTATGAATTATAACGCAGGACGCGAGTGTCGGTGAAGTCCGGTCGACCCTGAGGCCTGAGTCCCTGACAGTACTAATTTTGGCGAACGTGTTGACGGTAACAGGGCACAGCCATGAGCTGGCCTGAGACCTCTCTTGACTCCTGAGACTTGCCAATGTGCATATGGGGGTATTGTTTGAATTCTTGGCTGCAGATTAAGTCTGCACACTGGATGAGTCTTCAAAGACATCAAAGACATTGCTCAGACTCGGACACGGAGCAGTACGTTATGACAATTTAGGGCATACGGATATTTCTTCCTGATGAATCATGATAATTAACTTCAAGATCATGATGAAACCGGTCGATATCGGAATCCGGAATCCGGGAAATGTACAGGGAACGGTTGCCATGCATTGGTCCCGCTCACCCAAGTATAGAAGGCATATGTATTCAATCAAGTATAAGCCCGTTTCTCAATCTGCTCCGCCTCTTTCATCTCACGTCTCTTTACCTTGAGCCCGCCGCCGACCTCGTCTTTCCTTGATTGTACACTCATTTTTTCAATCGTTCACGCATTCTTTCAAACGCAATGTTCACAAAAGCAATTGCTGCAATCCTAGCCTTGCCCTTGGTGGCACAATGTCAGTATTTTATTTTTTTGATGTGCCTTTACGGTTGGTTCATCACGCGATTTTTTCTGTTTTATTGTTTTGTAGTTGTTTCTGCAGACACCTGCACTCGCACTTACACCGCTCAGGCTGGCGATATCTGTGACAGTATTTCGGCAGCCAACAATGTTTCCACGTACGCCAAGCCAAGTTCCAGTCCTTGTTGAAAATTCTCTGCTAATTTTTTTCTTCCTGCAGGTACCAGCTTGCTGTCGTCAACGTTGGAATCATCGACGAAGGATGCGACAACCTTGTCGTCGGCCAGAATTACTGCCTTGGATGGCAAGGTCAGGACTGCACGACCACTTATGTAGTCCAGCAATACGACGATTGTTACATTGTCTCCTCCACCGCGGGCATCAACACCACCATCCTGTACGAAAACAACCCGCAGATTAATGAGGATTGCAGCAATATTTACATTGGAGAGGTAGCTCAGTATTTCCCAGCTTTATCTCAGTTTCTAAGGCAATCTCTTTAGGTATTGTGCACAGCGAACGCTGTCCAAGTCCCTCCTGCCCCCTCCGGCACTACCCCCGCTACGACAATCCCTGCAACCGCTACTCCTGCCAACCCCGACGGCGACCTCCCTTGGTGTGACGAGTAAATTCCTTGACCTCCACCATCCTGCTACACTGTCAAGTGTATGTCGCACGGATCCCCAACTGTGATGACAGGCTGGTCGTGTCGTCGTTTCGGTCACCTTATTCCCTTTTTCATTCTGAACTTTATCACATTGTTTTTCACAACCAGAGTTACCCCCGGTGGTGGTATACCCAGCAATAGTAACTCCATCTTTGCACTTTATTACCTTGAATTCTTCACACGTGGTAATTCTGGTAATTCCCCTTACATTTGAGGGAATAGATCGCGGTCTTATAGGGCTTGCCCTTGTGATGACCATTTACATACGCCGTTGCCGTCGGTGTGATGAGGATATTCAGGGAACGCTATTCCCCAAACTCGTCCGTTCATAGGTAAGTGTGAGAGGCTTTTCTCGCTCGATGACAAGGGGCCAGATTCAGCACAGTCTTCACCGGTGCACCTCGTGGATTTTATGATCCTGAGAAGGGCACTCATTTCGCGCAATGGGCGATCAAGCGCCCACTGATAGTACCCCCTAAATCCATCTACTTCCTGAAAGCGATATGAAAAAAAAGATGGGAAGATGATGAGAAGGCTGTTCAGCGGGAAGCTGGAACACAGCAATAACCGCCTACCGGTCTTGCAGTGCATCCGCCTTCAAACACAGCAGCCTTCCTTTGATACTTTCGATGATTCATCATGTAGGGATGCTCGGGTCCTCGTGTTATATGCTACCAACTGATGCATCAATTCTAGATATTTAAATTCGACATGTGCAGCGCACTGCACGGCTAGTTGTCACCCTCTCTCATCATAACTTAACAGGTTGGTTCTCCATGCCGAGGAGCAGTTTCAACTCACCTTCGGGCCCGTCTTCGGCGCCCGAGTCGCCAGCAATAAATGAACGCACTCGCAAAAGAATAGTGTCTTTGATTCTTGTTTCAGAGTCTTCAAAAAGAAGCGGCGCCGTGCTCACGCGGAGCCGCTGTCTAATGTCTAACACCCACACCTGTAATAGTCTGACCCGTAGGCCTTGAGAGTGCTACTTAGTGCCCGCGGATTGAGTATGGGGTGCACCCATGTCATATATCGTTCATGTGTGTGAAGCCTTCAAGTTGCAGTACTACTCCCGACGTTGTACACTTGAGGTGCTTATTACTGTTCCGACCAGTTTTTGAGAACACAAAAACGACACAACATAACATAACAGGAGTGTACAGGGTTCCAATGGTACATACTATGTAAAAAAATTGACAAGGCTATGTTGCCAGAGAGAAGCCGGTGGGAAACAGTGTTTTGAGCGCCTCATCCGGAAAGTCACTGTGTCACACTATGTCACACTACCGCTTTGACTCCGAAACCAGGCTATGTCCGAGTTGCCTAGTGGTGCTTTTACGACTCCAAACAAAAGTCCTGTCACGCTATGCATCTTGATAGTACAACATTTTTATCTCTCAACATATCTCAGTTCTGATGTTGGAAAAATTTAGAGCAGTGTTAGAAGGCAATGCCAATCACTAGTAAAATTTCTGAATTTTTTCGTGCATGTAATGGCTTCCCTCTGATGGAAAGTGAATGTTTTGAGCAGTATTTTATTGCCGCAAGCACTTCCCGTCCGGTTTTCATGGAATAAAAAATACATACAGCAAGCTATGCATCAATCCTCCTTCAGAATCATTGTGTGAAGAAAATGAGTGAAAGACGAGTGTGCCACATTGTGATTTGCAACTCGGGGCCATTTTGCAACTTTGGGGAGTACGCCTATGAGAAAGCATGATACATATGTAATTCCGTATAGTCTCAGCTTTTCATTCTTGCCCTTCCACCTGTATGGGAAGGTCCACATTGTATTTGTGTGCGTCTCAGGCTGAGGTTACTATTCCCAAGCAGGTTCAGGCCCAGTCACTGGCTGTATTAGCTCAGCTGACACAATTAATATTCGCGGGCCACTGGCATATTCGGATCTACAGGCACGGATCAATATATCATGCCTCAAAAGATTCAAGACTACTATCATAGCATGTTAACACGAAATGCACTTCTCAAAGACATACTCGCAACTGCTGCAAACACTACCCCCAGAGCTACGCGAAAATGCCATACAGTACCGCCAAGTAAGTGTGATGGTAGTCAATTGCTTGACGTTGGTAGCATTGACCATCTGACAGCTCAAGAGACTCATCAACCAACTGGTCCAAGAGCTCTCTTCTCTTGGTCTCAGTCCCACTGTGCTCCAACAATTGCTAGAACAACAGAATCCTACGAGTTTGACCGCCCAGATCGAGGAAATACGACAGCAGTGTGATCGAGTCTCTGACTGCGATGATGATCACCAACGACACGCCACTGTAGTCTACGAGTTTATTGGGACGTCCTCTCATATTGAACCTCGTCTCCGGCTGTCAATCAAGCATCCAACAGACGCTACGGATATTGCATCTGGTCACACGACCACACCGGACAGCATCCTAGAGGCTCTACAGCTTCATTCCCAAGCGCTAGAGAGCAACAAGGCCTTGGTGGATATGTGTTATTCATCAACGAAGTACGTCCGACATGTTTTTAGTGCGCTTTTTGTTGATAGCTTGGAACCCAGCACCCACGATCTTATCATACCATTACGGTCCGATACCGCATTCTTTCACCTATTAAATACCGCCCTTGCATCGCTCGCTGAACACCTTAATACCGTGCATGGCGGTTTTACATCTACGCTACAAAGTTTGGCTTATGCTATTAGTGCGACAGCACGTCCCACCTCCTCGTCGGCACGTTCCTTCTCGACTTATTCAATGGCCATCAGTAACGCTGCCACATTGCGACCCAGCCCTGGCAGCCGAAATACAGATCTATATTCATGGAGAGAGATATTTCAGATGTACGTTGAAAGTGAAATCTTCGAGAGTGTCGGGGAGAGAACTCGTGGGGAACGCAGTGTCGAGGAAACAGAGACCCGCATGAAGCAGTTTGAAAAACGCATGCAGGAGAAGAGAAACAAGCTCAAGCTGGCTGGAAGCAAGGATGCGCTGGATGTTTTCATGCGGATGAACTTTTTTATCTTGGATTTAAAGAGGGTGAGTGTGATTTTTGTTATCAATTTGTTTAGATATTTATTTTCTACTATGTAGTTCCAATTTGCGAATGCCGAGGCGACCCGCAAGATTCTGAAGAAGCATACGAAGCGGACCGCATTACCCCTTCCTTCCTACCTTCTTCCACTCTGGAATGGACCATTGCCAGAGTCTCCACCTTCAACGGAGTTGGCCTTGTTGCCTTGGCGGCCCCCAGTATATTTGCCTCGACTCCTCGTACAAGCTATCGGCGAAATTCTACTTCCAGTTGTGCCTCACGTCGACGATTATTCGTGTCTTATCTGTACCAGTCTCGCGTTCAAGCCAATCAGACTTACTTGTGGCCATTTATTTTGTGTAAGGTGATTGCATAACTATTTGAAACCGATTGTACGACCAAATGGACTAACTTGGTTTGTCATAGATGTCTCGTGAAGCTTCAAAAGCTCGGGAAAGCGAACTGCCCTATTTGCAGGGCCCCTACGGTGCTAAAGGCTGACCGCAGTGAGTTCCCCGCTCGTCCCTCATTGTGCTTTTGGTCAGCTTATGTTTCACAGCTAACGTTGATTATGCTCTCTTGAACTTTATGGCTGACTGGTTTCCCCTGGAATCGCGTGCGAAGCTGAGTACTAACGAGCGCGAGGCAGCAAAGGAGGAGCTTGAAGAGCTTGGTCTTAGTGGAGGATGTCGAGTGATGTAAATCACGAGCGGGACAATGGTCCTGTCTGGACAGTTTGGACATGGGCTCGAGAGGTGCGTTACGGTACACTATTTATATTGGAATGCGATGGCTTGCGGGATTGCATGCATTTTAGATGTGGTTACATTATGTTTTCTATTTAAACAGAATGATAATGAAGGGCTGCTTGCGATGACAAGAGACGGCAGGTGTCGTGTTTCATTCAGACTCTCCAACAACATCCTCCATGATTTCTTCTTGCCAGTTTCGGCGCAAGGCATCCAGAAAATCCTGCACGCCGTCACCTTCCAGGAAACTGGTGAGGTTCATGAGGGAGAGACCGATTCGATGGTCTGTCACGCGATCCTGCGCATAATTATACGTTCGAATCTTCTCGCTGCGGTCCGCGGTGCGGACCAGATTCCGGCGAGTGGCTCGGCGGTTGGCGATATCTCGTGAAAGCTTTACATCCATTAGGCGAGCGCGAAGGACTTGGAAAGCACGACGCTTATTCTATTCGAATTATATGTTAGATGTACCTTGACGACAAAATGAGTGCAGGTTACCTGATGCTGACTGCGTTCATCTTGCATGGAGACAGTGATACCGGTGGGTGTATGGGTGAGACGGACTGCAGACTCTGTTTTGTTGACGTGCTGATGACGATGGTCAAAGTCAATTACTCTGCATGAAATCAAAAAACCCACCTGTCCACCTGCACCGCGTGCACGCATTACCTCGATCTTCACATCCTCCATTTTGAAGAGTTCGTCATTCCCGCCGATGTTCTCAGCATCTTCGCTCAACGGCAGAACCTAGTAGGGGTTATGTTACCCGTAACCCAATCAATTTTACTAGATACTTACTATGACTGCAACAGTACTCGTATGAGTCCGCCCACTTGATTCCGTTGCGGGGACGCGCTGCACACGATGTACACCGCTCTCCCATCTCAGTGCATCATAAGCCCCTTCACCTTTAATCTCGAGGATAGCATCGCGCATCCCTCCGCTTTCGGTTTCGCTGCTCTGTATGATACTTGTTCGCCATCCGACTGAACCAGCATATCGAACGTAAACCCGCAGGAGGTCCAACAAGAATAGAGCTGCTTCAGACCCACCGACGCCGGCTTTCAACTCTAGCAGAGCATGTAAGTCGCGCGTAGACGATGGAGGAACGAGAAGAGAGGGAAACGTTGTGGATATGTGGGTAGATAGGGTATGGGCCAGGGAGGTGAATTCTTCCGATGCTAGGGTGCGCATGGTTGGGTCAGGATCTTGCATGAGGGGTAGTGTTTCTTCCAAGGACTACTGTGGTAGCATTGAGCCAGGGCCAACAGCGATGGGGTGTGATATCACAAACCTGACGAGCGTGCGTCCAGTTTGACCATGCTTCATGCAAGGGTTCTAATTCTTTGAGTTGACGTGCACGTGCTATGTCCTCTGGAGAGGACATATCCTCAGACATCTGACGAATACTGAGCTGATATTTCATACTGCTGTCAATAGTAGTAGTCTCACGTTTGCTAGCAATTCATCCCTGACTTTGATGCACTTCCTTACAGCCTGAAGGATGCGAGCACTATCTTGTTCGATTTCGTGGATGACGTTGGAGGAAGTAGGATGAGCCTCTGCGAGGTATGTACGCGTGCTAGAAAAGAAACGTCGGCAAGGTTTTAATGGACTATGGCAGCGGTATAGAAGGCGGAACATGAAGACTCATGAAAGTTCGCTGAGCATGTTCTCAAAAAGGTTTTGTTTTGATTAGAAGGTTTTGGCAAACAACCTTCTTCCAAAAACGGATGAATCCAAACTTCACAGCGCACCTCCATCATACTCATTCAAACAGTCTTAGGCTTGCTGTTTGGAACATAGTAATACTGTTGTACTGGTATGCTATGAATTTTATAAATACAAGCAGCTTTCTGTCCTTAGCTTCTTAATCCTGGGGCTTTACTGATCCTTCAACGCAGTGATTCTGTAGGCGAGAATCGTCGTACCCTTTGGGGTGATCATCTTCCTTCTATTTGGTCTGCCTATGGGAAACTACCGTTGAACTTTGTATCACGGCCCGCACTTCAAAAACGTTCATGAGTGGCACTGCTTCGATCCATATCTGAACGAAGAAGCCGTCACCTGATACGTCTATCTCATGTTAGGAGTTTATAGCGTGCTGCCGCATGCAAGATCTGCACGGAGATTCCCTGATTATCTATAAAACCCTTCAGGATCTAACCCACATCCCCGCTTCGTCTGTCCCTGAACCATTCAGTACTGACAATCAGGTAAGGTCATGCCCGATTTCGCTCCGAGATGCTGGATATCAAAAATGACAGGCCGTTTTTCAAGCCATGTCTGAACGATTTCTTGACCGTTCCAATGAAACCTGGTGGACCAATCGAGCTCGCTCTCGTAGTGTGGACCTCTATCAGTTCGCTGACGATCTCGAACCAAAATCTGAGGTGAGTCTGCGACATGCGATAGATCATTTTAAAGTGAATATATTCGAGCAGGGTCATCCAGTAACCAGCAAGAACATCGTAATTTTCGGAGAGACTGGAGTCGGTAAAAGCTCCTTGATCAACCTGATTGCAGGCGAGGATATCGCCCCAATATCCCCAGACGCCCTTCCCTGCACCACTGAAGAGCATGCCTACGAGGTCGAAATACGTGGCCAGAGGTACACTCTGCACGATACAGTGGGTCTCGGTGGAGGAAGTTATGGGTCAATACCAACGGATGTGGCTCCCGCCAAAAAGCTGAAATATTTCTTGACGAAGATGTCTCAAGAAGATGGTCTCCATCTTCTAGTCTACTGTGTGCGTGGGTCAAGGGCCACCAGGGCAGTACGTCACAGTTACGAAACATTCGCTGCGGCGATTTCAGGGATGAAAATCCCAGTCGTTCTTGCTGTGACATGCGTCGATGACCTGTCAGAAGCTGGCGATTGGTGGCGGAGGAATGGGAAAACTGTGGAGAGTATTGGGATCCGGTTTGATTCCCATGCTTGTGTATGTACGCTTCCCGGAGACTCCTACCGTGATCGCCGCTACCAGTCAAAAATCGACGTTTGCGAAAAAATCTCCGAATTATGTGATCATGATGGTGTTCGTTTACGACGCCCACGACGCCAGAGGAGTTTACCTTTTACTAGATGAGATTTGGTGTTTGTAGACTTGCTATATATATTTATATATCTCGCTTGCTGTCCGTCTGAGGGATTTATGACGTAACTCGGAGCGGTTATTTGGTTCCGGAGCCTTTGCCAAACACCCATTTATGGGAATCAAGCTTTGCCTCGTTGATGGTCCAGCACAAGCCACATTCATCACCAAAATTACCAAATCCAGAGATGGTCATATATTACCATGTCGGAGCCACCATAACTGCCATATGTATCTGGCGCAAGGTCTCAATGTAAGGCAATGTTAGGAAACTCAATTCTGACATTGCGACTGCCATATGACTATAGTCTGGCATTAGGCTAGTGTACCGATATATCAAACATTGCTATGTACATAATGCATTTGAATTTCGCTCAGATTCATCAGACATTGCAATTGCGTTCGGATATAACAACGTGATGCATTGAATTAATGGTAGTGCAAAGCAGTGAGGTACAACTGAGTGAACAGTTCCGAACCTAGTTCAGAACGCGTTCGAACTCTCGAACCATGGTGATTGCAAAAAAAATCTTACAGTACAAATAGCTACTAGAACTCTCACGACCGTGGGCACCAGCTCGAGGCACCGGTGCTGCTCGTTTCGTTTTGTGTCCAGCAGGTGGAGGAGACGTCGGAGTTTCACTCAAAGGAGAAGGTTTGCGTTGAACAGGCGCTGGGGAGCTGCAAGGAGGTGCCTGCCAGGGGAACTGCGAGGAGGTGTATGACAAAGAGGAAGATGAAGACAGCGGCAAGGCTGCTGAATTGAAGTCGATCATGATCTTGACTTTGGAGATGAGGTGAAGGTTATTGGTGATGGAGAGGCTAGTAGCGAGGGCGAAAACGATGGTGACGAGGATGGTGTACCACCAACGAGTGGAGGGATGGCACCTTGCAAGATTTTGTGGCTAAGTATGGAACGAATGAGATCAAACGGAAGTGACTCACGAAGATGAATGATAAGACAGTATAAAAGCCATAGCCTGGCAGGGCAGGAAATCATTGCAGCAAACATGGTAGGAATCTTGATGCGAGGGAAGTGGAAAGTGCTGATGATTGATTTGATGCACAGCACCGACAAGCTTTAAGTTTTGTTCGAGAAAGACTCGACGGGCGATCTGCAGGGTTTTCGCATCTAAAAAGATATTAGCCTAAGAATAAAAATAGTGGCTCTAACGTACCAGTGACACAAATTCCATCAATATAATCTGGAATGACGCCTTCAGACTCGATGATGCCGTTTCAAAAGGGAATTCGTGATGTCGCTGAGGTCGGGACTGAAATTAGACTCCATCGCGACGATGAAAGCCGCGCTGATAGCCGAGAAAAGACCAGACTAATCAAACATCAGTCTCAAAATGCGCCGAAGATAAGAACGCTAAACTTACGAAGATCAAGACAATGTCCATGTCAGTAGTGTATCGCTCAAGGAACTCATCGTCATGTTCCTCTGCGACTCGTTTGTACACCCCCCAGAAACTAGACTGTTTGTCCTTTCCGATCTTCGACGCAATCGTGGAGTCCTGGAGAATGTTCAATACTTGCTTCATGACATTTGCAGGGCTTCAGGTTTACCTGCCGAAGGGAATGCCTGACACTGTTTCTGGTGTGTAGTGAGGGACATCAACTGAGTCTGGAGAATACTTCGGAGTAACCGATGACAATGGCGCGTTAGAACTTGAGGCAGCAGGATTCAGCACCTCAAACTTAGTGGTTCTGGTCGCCTTGGTCTTTGTCGGCGCGTTGATTTTAAAGGTGGAGGCGGTGGTTTCGTGGGAGTGGGACGATGGGCTTGCGGGATCATCAAAGGAGTGTCAAGGTACGCTTCGACAATGTGGCAAGCTCCCGAAAAACTCACCTGTCAGCGTCCTCTGAAAATCTCTCAAGTTCTCTGATCGGACAGAAAAAGCATGCTAGAAGGATATTTCAGATCCATGTGAGTAGACGATGCTGGATCCATCTGATAGATGAAATAAGTACATAATATATGCATATATGCGCATACACTCACCTAAGTCGGCCATCCAGAGTCCAGACAGATCTCCAGCACGACAATATTGTCATGGGCCAACAGCATGCCGTCAGCCAAGCCAAGGCGGTCTTCAGTGTGAGTGATGGTGACCATTGCAGAGACGTGTCAATTGATTGGATTGGAATTAATGGTGTTGATATTGGTATAGAATAGGGAGATAAGCAAAAATCAAGTGTAGCGCGTCCATAGTTGGTAGGAATTTGCCGGCGGGCTTTGAATAGTCATGTGAGGCTGACGACGGTGTGCCGACTTTCAGAAAATTCATCGTCCGAATCCAATTTACCGGCATTCGCGCCATCGGCACCAGTTAGGTTTACTCCTTGGCTTTGAGAGCAGTTCTACGAAAACGACATCCATGGCTGCACCATCTTGCGACGGCACCTTTGTTACACCTCCGGAAACACCTCCGATAGCTATCCCAAAGTCCAGCCAATGCCAAGCATCGGCTGGTTCCATCCACTCTACCAAAGGCTCTGTACCTTGATTCTTCCCAACCATCCTCGTCTGCTCCCAGTAGTCCGAACATGATGCCCCCGCCTCCACTACCCTCGAGCGTCACATGATCTCTTCAATCGGAAAGTCGACTATCAGAAGTTTGTAATTCAATTCGAGCCCAGCTTGTTGCATCACTGCATGACACTCCGGCCCTTCACAAGTTATCCCATGCAGAACTAGAATCCATTGTAACACAAGTCATCGGAGAGGAAGGTTTTGCTTAACTGGTAAGCGTTCTCGGAGTCGTCTAATCAATAAATCATAACCGCAGATGACGCTGCTAATCGGATTCCCCAGTTTGCTTCCTTGGACACTATGTGGAGAGTGAAAGGTTTTTTTGGTCAATAATACCTGACAGTCTTGAACGCTACCCATTTATTGTTATCCTTTGGAATGTTACCTTGTATGTGTATAAAGTCTCTTCGATCACGGTCGTTACTATCAAGCACCTATCTCATACCTAGCTTTTATTGATGTACCAACAACTTGCAATTCATGAACACTTTCCACACCGACACTAGTGCTCTGGCGGTGGGTGCCCTTTAGGTACTTTACTTCAGTTTCACCCATTTTTCGTTGTATTACTCTATATAATACATTGGATGTATCTGGATATGTCTGATATCTGGCTGACAGCTACTCTACTGGATGACTTGTGTCTGTCAGATGGTATGTTTGATGTCATTGTATCGCTACGATATTTCAAATGTCGGATATCACAGGTATATACAATTGGCGGCGTCAGAAAATTCAATATATCATGTGATCTCTGGATTCGGTAATTTTGGTGATGTTGCACCACCTTTCACTCAACTTCATGGATGTCATCCAGTCCATCCTGGTCCATGCGGTTGGCGACGAAGAGCCAGAACTACCGCCAGGATCACCTCCGACATGTAAGTGTAGACCAGAAGCAAATTCATCAATCTTACACTATTACTACCTGTAGTCAAGTTCGAGGGTCCATGGTTTACGACACAAATCTTACTCTCTTCCACCATAGGACTCTCATCTTTCCTGATTTTCTCGTACTGTCGCAAGCGATGGCCTTTGTTATTTGCACCAAGAACGATGCTGAAAGGTATGTTGTTCCGTTCTTGCTAGGTAGTAGTAGAATTGATCTCCTTCAGACTTCTCCCCGCACGAGGCACATGCTCACCAGGCGTTTTTTGGATGGATTGTTCCAACTATGAAAGTGTCTGAGTATACTGTACTGCAAATTGTTGGATTGGACGCTGCAGTGGCAAGTCTGCTGCACAATGCGTATGCAAAAATATCACTCACGTGTAAAAACAGCTCCTCAGCTTTTTCAAGACTTCCTTTTACCTTTTTTCTGTTTGTTCTTTATTAGCCGTTACGATCCTTATGCCCATTAATTTGAATGTACGTATTTCCGCATGTCTAAGAAACACCGACTCATATTGCTCGTAGCATAATATCGGCCTCGGAGGAGGCACTGACGAAGACGACAACGATTGGCCGGGATGGGTCACCACCAGTTCTGATGACGACCCCTTGGCGCCTGGACGGGAGTGGCTCGACCTCATCAGCGATGCTAACACATATCTGACGATTCATTTTCTCTTCACGTACCTTTTCACCTTCCTGGCGTTGCGGTTCCTTTATAGGAACTATCGTCGCTTCGTTCGCTCACGTCAGCTGTTCTCCCTCGAACTGGCTCATTCTATTCCCGGAAGGACTGTTATCGTGACTAACCTGCCCAACCACCTTCGGTCCGAGCGGGCTCTCGCTGAGTACTTTGAAAACATGGGGCTCAGCGTTGAAAGCGTGACGGTCTGCAGAGAAGTCGGTACCCTGAAAGCCCTTCTTGACCTTAGGACAAAAGCATTACTGAAGTTGGAGAGTGCATGGACGGATTACGTGGGAAATCCAAGCGTGGTGGAATCCTACGACCCGTCCGAGAACGTAATTCCCCCCTTCTCGGATAGAGAGCCATCGCTACTAGAAAATCAGCAGGGGCGTTTCGTCGTACCCCATCGCCGGCGTCCGGTCATAAGACCAGGGTGGTTCTCCAGAAAAGTTGATGCGCTTGAGTACCTCGAAACAAAGTTTACGGAGGCCGACGAGAAAGTCAAGAGGTGGCGTCGTATCGGGAAAACAAAGGCAACGCAAGTCGCCTTCGTCACGTTCGAGAAGATGTCTAGTGCAGTAAGCGTCGAGTTTATTGATGCCGTTAGCCCTTCGCTAATTGCTCTATAGCAAATTGCTGTGCAAGTGGCACATTCATGTGACCCAGGAGAAGTAAAAACCAGCCCAGCCCCTGAACCGCGAGATATTGTTTGGTCGAACATTACTCACACTCCAGGAAACCTTTTGGCTCGCGAGATGTTTGTAATCGGTTGTGTATTACTACTGCTATTCTTCTGGATATTCCCGATCACCGCGCTTGCGAGTCTGCTGAGTTACAAGGAGATCAAGAAGGTGATGCCTTGGCTTGGCAGACTCATCGATGGCAACGACAGAATACGTGCCATCGTACAGAATTCATTGCCGTCCGTCGCCATCATTACGCTGAACGCACTTCTACCTTTTATCCTTGAAGGTGTGTTGTCTTACCAGACATCTGGCTCAGCTTACGATTGGCATTACTAGCTTTGACGTATACTCAGGGGTATAGAGCACGAAGCTTAATTGAATACTCTCTGATGCGGAAGTCAGTTCATTTCCATTGCAGAAAATCCACTTCTAAGACTTCGAAAGATACTTCTTGTTCCTTCTCATCAATGTGGTGTTCATCTTCCTTATGGCAAGCACGTACTGGCAGTTGGTACGCGATCTCGCCCACTCGCCTGCGAAGATCCCAGAAAAGCTAGCTACAGCGCTCCAACAAGGAAGAGCAAAGTAAGCGGCAGCATCTTTGTAATCTGCAGCTTTTTATCTAGGCACGTCTTTTAGGCACTTTTTCCTTTCATATGTTATACTTCAAGGTGGGTACATCATCTTAGTTGTACTTGAGAGTGCTGAATTAGAACGACAGGCTTTGGTATCATGCCGCTCCAGTTGCTCAATCTGGGGGTGATAATACCCCGGATGGTCTTACGCATGTTCAGGACTCGTACACCTCGAGGTAAGCACTACCGCATGTTAATGGTAAATCTAATCCTTGGTCTGAGCAGATTTCGCTGAGTTGAATGCCCCTCCCATGATCAACTATGGTGTCGTATACCCTCAAGCGATTCTTGTTTTTGTTGTCACCATTCTGTACAGCGTCGTCCAGCCCTTGATCGTCATCTTCGGCGCAATCTATTTTGGAATGGCCTACGTCGTGTACAAGTACAAGTTGTTGTTTGGTGAGTAGATTCAAGCTCTCTTTTACTGAAATGTTTCTGAGTTCGCTGGTTCAGTGTTTTATAAGCCCTACGAATCCCAGGGCCAAGCATGGCCCCTCACATTTGTCAGGCTCATTTGGGGCATAATCATTTTTCAGACGTTTATGATTGGTATCTTGACCTTGCGGAAATGCTATATCATGTCTTCTCTCCTTCTTCCGCTGCTTGCAGGTACCGCCATCTGGTCCTGGTACATCTACGAAACCTTCAAGCCTCTCAGCAGCGCAGTGTGTCTCAGTTCTGTGTGCGAGGTAGAGCGTGGTGAAGATTCAGCAGATGTAGTAAGGTTGCGGGAGGGACATCCAGTGACGTGGTCGCAGAGGTAAGGTCTATAATTTTTCTGTTGGACCCTAATGCAGAGTTACTTTCAGCAATTTGATGCGTCGGAGATACGCACAAAATGATGACATGCTCTACGTTGCTCCAGAAGACGAGCGGACAGACTATGTAGGTAATATGATATGCGGAAGGAACGTCTGACCTACTTCTCTTTCAGTCACAACCACCTATGGCTAATTGGTATAAAGGCGTGTTGAAGTGAGTTGTTTTGTTTCGATTAATTGCCGTGTATTCATCCCTTATTTAGCACCGGCAAACGAAGATACGGGCATCCTGCTCTAACTGGTGTACTTCCTGAGCCTTGGCTTCCGTTGAAGAAAGGGCAAACCCTTGTCAATGGGCACCGTGCGGGAGGATCAAGAGCGTCTCCATATGTCAACCAAGGCATCGTTCTCAACCTACGCAACCGCTACACCATGCTGCGAGGAAAGATTCGAGCATCGCGGCAATCTCGTCCCGCTACTGATGGCACTCTTACCGACATGAGTGCCTCTGAGAACCAGGATGGTGTTCGCTCTCCAGATCAGGCTGGACCTTCGAACCCATGGGTGAATACACGCACGGCACGAGGATCCCAACCGCATAGCAACCTCAATCACCGCCTGAGCTTCGATCCTGCTTCCGGAGTTATCATGTTGCCAGAAGATGGTGATTGGTTGATAGATGACGACTCCGACGATGATTACGGGACTATGAGTCCGACGCCTGAGGCAGTCCACACCCCGAGCAACGCATCTCAAGAAAATTTGTTAGATACAAACGGTCAATCACTGTCCACACCCCTTGCTTCGCCCAGCAAGCGACGGCATGGTACATATTACCATCACCCAGAGCGTCGTCGTACAATTCCTGGGTCTTTTCCCTTGCCGACATGAACACAATCATATTTACCTCATCCTAGATTTGCTTCCGATATGTCATATTGTGCTCCTACCTTACATGCTCTTGTGAAATTCTGGACATCGGAATTCATATTTCAAGAATGTAACCCCCAAGAAGGAAACGACATTTGAGTGAAGACGCCCATCGTGCGTCTGTTGTATGCCCATTTACGGTAACCCGGCACCCCAATCCTTGCAATAAGGTCAGTCTTCTTGCTGATCAGCACATGGTTGGACCAGGCAAGCAGGAATCTTCTGACATTGTTTTGCGTACAGTAACAAAAGCTGAATGCAATATTGTACCCTGCAGAGCCTCATGTGAGCCCTATGATGTTTTGGTCCGGGCCTTTCTCGAACATGATCAGAGGCAAATCGTTACCTAGGGGCTCACGCAATTCACTCGATGAAGGATTTCTAGTTCTATCATTGCACTCTCGGACCACACAATTATTCGTGCCCTGATGCACTGATTGAAGGTAGCAATCGATTTCTTCGTCGCAATTCAGGTCAAGATGCCCCAGGATGTGCTGATCCTCTTCACTAGCACTATTGACATGTTCGCCGGTAGGATCGGCCCGTCGTGTCAGGCGTACGCGGAATGTCTATATATCAATCCAACATAAGACTTGTAAAGTCCCTCTGCCCGTGTATAAAATCCCTACACGTTCTCGCTCAAGTTGTCTTTTCATTCTTACCCAGCAAACCTCTATTGACATGCAGCTTTCTTATTTGATTGTCCTTGCTTGCTCCATCTTGATGGGCGTCAACGCCTCAGCTCCTCCAGCATTTACTACCAAATGCACTAGCAACGGGAACTTGGAAATCTGCACGGAGGATCGGGACTGTTGCTCTGGTTGTTGTGTTGGTTATGTAGGTGGCCTCGAAGGCGACTTATGTGTAGCCATTGGTGCTGATGACTTGCACAGGTATGTGTGCCTTGCTGAGAGTTGGTGAATTGTGGCGGGTATCCTTCCCGTCTTGCGGCAAGTGTTTGTGTCTGACATGATGCATGATGTTGAACATGTAACACAGGGACTTGCATAATACTTCGAGCTCTTGAGTCATATGCATGGATGAAGTTGTTGGATGTGACACTTGGTTCTCCTTTGTTGGGTCATCACCTCGCTCGCAAGGTCATGGAAGTTACTTCATCTGTCAATCGAATACAGCACCGAATAAAGAAAAATGATGGAGAATATGGTTTGGGTTCGCAGTTCTGAAATTGAATGCTACTACATCACAGACGGAGTCTTCTGCGGTCGCAACTAAAGCCGTTCGAATCTCCTTGCTGTTATATGCCTATTTGATGACTTATCCCGGAAAGACGAAAATTTTAACAGCCAAACCAACTTTACCTATGATAGAACCGTTCGAAGCAAGTGCTGCCAATCTTCTCGGTATTCCGGCCGAGTTTCTTACTCGCATCACTTTTATTATTCCTCTCTTTGAACTTTCCGGGATGTGCTACAGAAATATGCTACCACTTACAATCTATCTCTGCGTCCTTGAGGCAACTCAGGCAAGCAAAGTGCTGCCCGACCGTAGTATACAAAAGTTCTTTGTGGTGTCACATGTGTTTATTTTATTCGCTGTTGATTGATTGTGTCAAAAGGAGTGTGTAGTGAAATAGATTGGCTCTCCATCTTTCAAAAACCATGTTACGATTCGACTGACGTTATTTAGTAAAGGTTGGACACCGCAAACTGTGTCGGAGAAAGGTATCTATGTATCTATGTATCATCGTTTCATTGTCCTCCTCACATGTCTTGGTTGTCCTACTCCGGTGTTAACGTATCACTATGACATTATTTGACACGGCAAGCAAGAAGTGTGCCTCTTATGTGCAAGAGGAGGACGATCCGGGACCCATACCTCCTTTGATGACAGTACAGCACGAAGGACAGGAGCAATCGCCCAAGACTACGATAGTCTGGGTAGTTGGGTAGCACCAAAATATAAACGGCAGGCCATCGTTATAACCCGCGAGTGTTCCGCACTCAAGCTTTCCTGCAGGCACCCATAAGTATGCAGCTTTAGATCATAACACGGGTATGCTAAAGGTATTCACCTGGCTGGGCGCATGGCCCCCCGCTGGGGTCTGTCAGGATGTCCGCCAGTACTGCGGCAGACATACTAATCATAGTGGTGAGTGAGATGAACTTCATTCAATGTTGCACTCGAGGATAGATCTGGGTAGTGTTATTAGGTAGTATTGAACTGAAAGTTACGCTTCGCTTTTATACATAGGTAGTAAAGGGCGGCTTAAAACATGCATCTGCTGTACGTCCGATAACTCGGAGCAACACAATGCGCCGTGGCAACGCGATATCTGCAGACGTGGCTCTATGAGAACTCGCTGCTGTCAGGCTAGCATCGAAATTTCATAGACTCCAGACTCCAGAGTTATTGGCAGAACTTCAAACTCCACGTGGAGATGTGATTTGGTTTGAACTCGATAGAACATGAACATCATCAGTCTCCCTAAAGCAAGATGGTGCATACCCCCTCATGATCAACGACAATTTCAGGCGCCTGGAGCGAGTTGACAAGTTGCGGACGGCCTTTCTTGGTGGCAAAACCTTCCAATCAATTCCGAAATTCAGTCTTGTTTTAATGATAGCTCTTGTAAATTTATGGCTTCATGAACTCACAGCTTAGTGCACCCAGGTCCCAGACCTGCGCATACCTAAGAGCAGGAAAATACTTTCTTCTCTGGAATCGTAAATGGTGTGGCTTCTCGGTACTTGCCATTCTTACAAATCATCACTCAATTGGGCAGGTTCGTCATAGGTACCCGAAGTTCCGACCTTCTTGTTTGTTTTCCCTCTTTTAACTGTTATGTCCATATATTACTCTCTTTGTTTCGCATCATACTGCGACCGAAGTGTAGTTCGACTTTCTGTTACTTCCAGGTTCCCCCGACGCATCCGTGACCCAATACCACGACCGACATGTCCGTGCAAGCTATCCTCGCCACTCCTATGGTCATAATGTCCGCTGTCCATGTTCCAGTGAAACATGTGTTTGCCGCGTGTGGTTCATGTAGCAATATATGCTTTTGGTGCAGTCGTGCTCTCACAACTTGAAAGGCTCCGCATACAATTTGAATCCGCGCTCTGTGTACTTCATCAGTGCCTCGATGGTGCGTGTGTTTGTTTTGCCTTCCATGTAAAGGCGCGAATGTACGAAACTCTCAGGCTTTCCGTCGTAAATCCATTCAGGATACATGATGACGATGCTGTCTGCTTTGATGTAGCTCATGACGACGGTGGAATGAAATTGGAGAATGGGAGCTATTGCGCAATCCCAGTGGGTCACGATAATATCTATCTGCTCTTCTCCGTTTACCAGCTTGTAAATTTTGGTTATCACATTGCTGTCGTATAATGTTTTGCGGCAGATCTTCTGAGCAACAATATATCATGATGCGACCGGTTGACCAATGACCGGAGTCATTGAGCACGTTACGAGAAACACCCAGAGTCACGAGACTTGTTCTAATATTTGTCCATGAATTACCACTGTCTGACTTCCGATGCTGACAGGGAATGTGATGCAAGGCAATCGCTGCAATTCGGAGTACGCGAAACAATGGGTATCTGCTCGTATGGGGATTAATTGTCTCACAGGGAATTCAAGCTTCAAGCCTGAACTTCGTTGTCCTAGATGTAGGATCACCAAAGACATCCCACTACTCCGTCTGACTCTGTGACTCACGAAATGCAGGTCGATCACGAATAGACCGTAACCGATGGTACGTCATATAAAGACACGAATGAGTCAGAATATAACTTATAACAGCCAAATTTATGTCAGAGTCCAAACGATCCGAGACACGAAGAGTGAGGTTATGCGAGCGCAAACTAAATGTAGGACAAACGGGCGACGTTTTGACGTTGGCTCGAGCTCTTGCATATTGATATTTTTTCTTTCCTTTAATACGTATATTTTTCGTGCCTAAGCTAACAAGCATACTACGAATAGAGCCGTACGAACATCTCAGTTCTTCCCCGAGACTGAGTACTGAGATGTGAGCCCTCGTTATCATTTTGTCATTCTTATTTGTTAACAAGCAGTAGATATATTGTTTTCTACTAGGTACATAATTCGTGTTCTTTCCTGAGACCAAGATATGTGTTGTTTTCTACTAGCTTCGTTTCTCGTGTCGCTCGCCTCTCATCTTGAATTTATGACGTCTCTTCTCGAGATAATTTTGCTTCCGCTCAAGTAATATATGTCATAGTTCCTACTTCGACGAATAAGTCTGTTCCACCAATCACATTGCTCTGAGATCACCAACACCGTAAGCTCACATGAGCATCAAACCTCTTTCGGACAAGCGAAAGTTTTGCCGATGTGTCTCCTCCTAACAATATAGTACTATCATTCCCTGTAATATGTCCACGGTTCCTAATATGCAAAATGTTATAACAATTCAACATCATGCTCAACTGGCTTCGAAAAAATTCAGGCATATGCAGAATACCTAGAAATGATGTTTTGCACGAGTAGAATAAAATATTCTTAGATGTTGCAGTTCCAAGAGATGAAATTGTGCCAATTTACAACCTTTGTCCAACACAAATCACCCAGATCCCGACGATCCTGCACAGGTACTCATAAAATTTTACCTGGGACATGAAGGACACCTTCTCGGGATGTCATAAAACCAATTCAATAATAGTTACTCTCCTGTGCTGAGGTGCTACAGTGGTATAATCAACAACAAGTCTGAAAGCGTGATACCAGACAGGGGAGGTGCACAAATAATTCAATCTCCTCCTCGGCACACACAGCATCTACCTTCTGCTCGAGTCTCCACATTGTATTGTATCATTCTCTCCAATGGCACCACACCGCAGGAAGGCAACACATTCAAAAGCTGAAGAAGATGCCACTCGCGAAGCCAATATTTCAGCTGCTATCAAGGCTGTCAGAGAGAATCGGGCTAAAAACCTCTTGGCAGCAGCTGGCCAGTTTAATGTACCATACCATACCCTTCGGCAGTGTGCACAAAACCTCACAAAACCTCATTCGAAGGCCCACAAACGTCAACAACTACTTACCCAAGGGCAGGAAGAAACACTATGTCACTGGGCTAAGTACTTAGCCATGACAGGTCACCCTCTGTCAAAGCGCAACCTTCGTACAAAGGTATCAGAGCTCAGCGAGAAGCTAAAGGAAAGGAAAAGGCTCACCGGGAAAGATTTAATTCCAGGGAAAAATTGGATCAATGCTTTCCTTGTTCGTCATCCAGAACTAAAGCTAGGATGTCCCACAGGTATTGATCCAAAACGGATGCAGATGTTCAACTTTGCAACTGTGAACCACCACTTCAAACTCCTCGACGAGTTCTTGAAATCTGAGGGCATCCCCTGGGAGAATGTGTATAACATGGACGAGAAGGGGATCCAGCTTGGAGGAGGGAGAAAGTGTGATAGCACAAAGTACCTGTTTTCACGATCAACGAAGGTTCAAGTCAAAGCAAAAAGTGACCAACTTGAGTTAGTGACAGTGATCGAGTGCGTATGTGCAGATGGCACCAGCCTGAAGCCTGGTTTCGTATTTTCTGGGTCAGAGATATACCCTGAATATTACGAAGAAGATGGAATCATGTAAGTCTCTGTTCTATGACACAATACAAAATTCTGACCTCATATCAGAGTGGCAATGTCTGAAAACGGTTGGACCAGTGACTTCATTGGCACTGAGTGGTTCATCAAGAGCTTTGTGCCACAAGCTAAGGAACAAAATTCGTCTGGTCAACCCATCCTTCTGATATATGACAGACACCGTTCCCATGAGACGATTAAGCTTCGTCAAGCAGCAGAAGAGCACGGAATTCACCTTTTCTGCCTACCCCCCCACACAACCCACTGCTTACAACCCCTCGATGTTGGCATTTTCGGTCCTCTGCAGAGGCAATGGCAGAGACGCTGCGAAGTAGTGATGGCAGAGACAGGAGAAGGGATTAAAAAGCGAAATGTGATTCAAGAGTACATGAAGGCGAGGGCAGATGCATTTAAACAGGAAACAATTCTACAAGCATGGAAAAAAAGCGGAACTAGACCAATAAACCCTGGAATATTCACGGAAGAGGATTATGCACCAAGTCACGAGTCGTCGACCAAGCTGCACCTTCCTGCCACCTTTCCTACCAATCCTACTTCCCCTGATCCCCTTTCTGCCAGTGATGAGTCAGACCAAACGTACGAGCTATCAGGGAGTTCATCAGACACTGAAAACGATTCAGAGTCAGAGTCAGATAATGAAGCTAATGCTCACGGTGATGGCAAAACACATTTTCCCAATTCACTCTTGTCAACACCAGAAGCCGGTCCCTCATGTCTTCCTGGTGCATTCGACCGTGATCCTACTGCGCATCCATTCCATCGCCACACTCGATCGCTGTCTTCTAGTCTACAAACTTCATTGTCACGAAGCATGACACCGGTGGTTGATCATCCAGGACCAAAATTGAACCCGTCAGTGCGATTCCAAGAGGCCGAGATGGAGAACGAATGGCTTCGCAAAGAGAATGAATTGTCGCAGCACCAAAAGGATGCTGCAGAGACGCACTGTTATTTTGCAAGGCAGATGGCCGAGCACTACAAACAGCGGTTGAACAGGAAGGCAGAAGAGAAGAGGCCAGGAAAGAAACGAACAAAACCGTATTCGAGGGTATTGACGTCAGAGGAAGGCCGTGCGGAGCTGAGGGAGCTAGAGGCTGAGCAGGCCGAGCGCGAACGTCAGGAAGAGGCCAGCAAACAGAAGAAGATCACGGAGGAGCAAGAGAAGCGAGATCGGCGAGCAGAACAGGAACATTCTCAAGCTATATTCACTGGTACAATCAAGACGAAGAAGCTGGAGGACCTACATGACATAGCTGCAGCCTTGCAAATGTCCGAGACCAGACTGAAAGCTGAGCTGTTGCAGCGGATTCTGCAACACTTCGACGACGACCCTGATCTGAAGAAAAATCCACGCTATGAGGGCTTATTCAACCCTCCCCATTCTCGCAGGCGCCGTCTCGATAACAGTGCTCATACTACTGAATTAGTACAAGAGGACACGATCCCCCCACCAAATCAAATGCACGAACCATTTGGACAACAACCTCAGCCTCACCCTCCACATACTTGGCACCCTTATTTTGCACCAGCGCTGAGTCACAGCAATACAGATTTTCGAGTTGGCAGCACAGTGCGGACTGAGGATGTGTATGCAGGAGGGCACCAATACATTCATAGTAACTATTACCGTCAGTATTAGATACTCTGAGTCAATAGTATTTACCGTTTTCAAGCCTTTCCGAGTCACGACGCATGCAGAGTTTGAAGACTTCGGAGAGTGAAAGTCGATTGTGCCGCTACTATGCCGAGGCGTGACAAGCCGTGACCAGAATTGTGCAGATTGGAGGGTAACCCTGAATTTTCTCGGGCTTGCTCCGACACTGCACTACATTATTCTAAAAATCAGTAAAAATCAGGTCCATTTAGAAGAGATACAAATCTATGACAGGTAAAATTTTCGAAAGAAAAAGTGATGTGGTCGAGGGGCTAGAAAAGATTTTATGAATATGTTACATATTACAGGGAATGATAGTACACTGCCATAGGTGAAATGTAAATTAAGGCGAGCGTTTACTAAACCATCCCAGTGAGCTACACAGTAGCAGTGCATCTTTGAAAGGTGGCTTGTTCAAAACAGGTTTTGACTCTTCTTTAGAATTGAATGTCTTAGTACAAGGCTAGAAGCGAAGCAACAGCTATTAGCCCGAGGAGAAGCGAAAATCTCGCAAAATCGCGAGTATCTGCCTATAAAACACCTGCATGCTATGGCTTTGCATTGCTCACTGCAACAAGCTCCATGATGTTCACTTCCCGCCTCACTATTTTTGCCCTACTCACCTTCCTCGCTGGCGTCAACACAGGATGCGCAGCATGTGAAGAAATGTTGTACGGAGTCGATAGTGCAACGACCTACAAACTAGTCAGCAACTATGAGAAGTCCGAAAACGGGTACACAGAGTGCGGGTAAGCCACACTCATCTTCATCGAGAAAGGTGACTCGGTGACCTGCGAGTATAAGGTACGTGATTTCTGGACACTGAGTGACTCATCGTTCTCGTTTGACACGTTGGATGGCCATCAGGACGACGGTTGGCTAGTAGCGGATGGGGATTCAAAGTGTCCGAAAATGTCAAAGAAGAATAACCCTGAATGCTAAAAGCAGGATGTGATGTGGAATGAGCCCGATGAGAGGAGGAGTATTGGTCTGCAGAAAGTTGGGTATATCAGTAGATTTTGTCTGTGTCATATCCCGCATTCCGGACCAACATCCGACGATGTTCCCACGCATCATCCGGACCTCCGGACCTCCTGTCCATGTCTCCAGACCCAGTCCTCTATCCGTCCGGATCCCTGTACTCCTGCATCTGATATCCGGACGCCAGATCTGATATCCACATCTCCGGATCTCCGGATCCAACCTATCTGTCATGTCCGAACCCAAACCTTAAATCAGCGCCCATCCCCTTATGGTAATCACCTGTCTCCGGACTTCCGAACATCCAGATCCGACCCACCTCTATCTTCCTTGCGTTCCGGACCCAGACCTATCACGCATTCATCTCCGGACATCCGGATCCGACCCGCGTCTATCTTCCGTGCCTTATCCCTTTGTATGTTCCTTCTTGAGTTAGACTTCCTCATTTTCCGTACCTCGTTTCATTTCCGGCTTTATTTTCCTATGTCTTCATCTCCGTCTTCATTTACTATTTTCCGATAGACTAGTGTTTGACTTTTCTACATCCTCCGTCCACAGCCTCGCATAGCTTCGGACTGCGCTGACTGACTCTCCGTTAAGTCCTCTGTAGTATATAAACTCTGTAGAATCTTTGTACTTCCTCAGTCTGAATATCATACACATATTAGTCCTCGCACTAGCCTTCACCCTAAGTCCTCGTAACAGTTCTAGTCCTCCGACTTAGTCATTATCCATCTCAGGCCTAGGGAGGAATTCCCTAGGCCGGAGCTCCGCTCCTCCACTCCTCCACTCATCCGATCCTCCATTCCTCCGAGTTTCCGGAAGTTCCTCCGGAACTTTCCCACGGTCCTCCGGACCTATTCTGCTTCGGACTTTGTCCTTGCAGCCTTTCCTCTGTTTGCTTCTACTCAGGACTTGTCCTGAGTAGCCATTACACATATTCCCATCAGGACGAAACTCCATCGTAATTTCCGGAAGTTCCTCCGGAACTTTCCCGCACTCATCCAGAAGTTTCTCGCACTCGTCCGGAAAGTCCTTCTGAAGTTTCCCACGCTCCTCCGGAAGTCCTTCGGACTTCACTGGACTTTCTCCGGACTTCATTCTGAAGTTAAGGGCACATACTCGGGTAAGGGGTGCAGCGCACGAGCTGAAGCCAAGCCCCTTGGAATCAGTCCTACCCTTTGTGCATGGTCTTAACAGTCTGCTACAAAATTCTCTTCATGCCTGTGTTGCATTGACCAGTTTGTGACAACCAATTGTCTTGAGTCAGAGCATCGCGAGACAAAAAAATGGGTGTTCATCTCGACCTGCCAGTCTCTGAAATTCAAACTTGGGCGAGTCCGTGTATTCATTCTTGGGAACACTTTTTGGGAGAACAATAATAAAGAAAAAACCTAGAAGTGACACGTACAGCATCTGAGTTCACTTGTACGAGCTCCAAGAATTTGTCTGTGCAGGCCCTGCAGGGTTTGGGGAAACTCGAAAGAACCGAGTAGGGTCCGAGTGATAACTGGGTACTTAGTAATAGTATGTCTGTTCCAACTTCCACCGCTCCAACGCCGTAAGCTCATTGTGAGCATTAAACTTCTTTCTGACTAGCGAAAATTATAAGTCTTTTGCTCGAGTTATAGGTACCCTGTCATCACTCAGACGTTACTCGGCTGCGTCAAACCCTGAGGAAACAAGGTACGGACATCCTCACATAATTCACAAGGAAAGGATTCCAGACTCTTACTGTGATGTTCGCTTCAGCTTATTTGTGACGGCATCACCCAGCTGTATATAACCTCAACGCATTCCTTCACCCGTCGACATGCTTCCCTCTCCAGAACTTTTCCCTTCCCTTCCGCCGCTCATGTCCCTCCAAGCTCCTTTTTCTCTCTCGCTCTTGAAACCTTGCAAGTTTACTCGTTATTTGTGAAGTATGTTTAAGTTCTGTGACAGAACTCAAACAAACTTCGTACTTATAGACTACTTGAATATGTACATGGTCCTGTAATTTTGTAGCTGTCTGTGCCAATAGACTATCTCTCTCCACATCCTTCGATGATGTGCAACCTCAGTGCAGTTGGAATAAATACGCGTCTGCAACCATCACACTTCTCCAAAAGACAGTTAGCATCAAACTCGTGAATACCCCCACCAGCTGCAAGCTTAAACAAGTGATCCTGCTTGTTCGGAGACAGGATGGGGCCTTCCTGGACCATGGGTAAGTCAGGAACATCTTCGGGAGGGACTACGAGAGCATCAGGCTCAACATGTTGCATTGGGTGTTGCACTGGGCGATGTGCATGGCCGAGCAACTGATCTCTTGCAGTGGGAAAGACAGCTGTAGATGAATTCATGTGAGTTAATGAAAGACGAATGAAAATGAAAAAAAAACACACCAGAATGACGACGCCTGTTATTATTAGTGCGAGCAGGAATGGCAGAGACTGTACGAGTCCATGTTTGTGAAGGATGAATGGACCGATGGGCACCAAGATAGTCCACAAAGTATGGCGCGATTTCTGAATGATGGAGAGGTGAATTCAGCTGTCGAAGTTCAAACCTAGTTACGAGAGCGGCAGTGTTGGCGGCAGCTTGAAACACAGGCCAATCCTCGTAGGTTGAAATATGGTGCGCAGTGTGACACGTCTCATTGAGATTGACTATGAACTGAGTAAGGTAGAGATAGAGGTTGTCAAAAAGTTCAAAGACTTACTTGAAAAACCGCACTTGTTATTGCGGAAATAACACACAGCTTTCGTAAATCCATTCATTGTCGATACAAAACAAACAGGAGTTGCGCGCTCCTCCACGGCACCGCAGAAGCATTCCCAAGAAGTGCACCTACGTCGCAAAAATTGGGCAATGCCTGCGGGCATTACACGAGTTCTAGTTGTGCGGGAGACTGGACTGAAATGAACGAAATGTTAGCATGATATCTGGATAGGATAAATCAGACGCACTAAGCTATTTCGACGCACTGTTTCACATCGCGTGAGTAGATGACGAGCTCCGTGCTGCTTCGTTGGTAGCGACGGCAAAGCAGAAACATGGAATCAGAAGCTGGCATGATAGATGGTTGAAAAATGAGATGACAAGCAGAAGTAAAACTCACGCACCTTTTATAATGTGCCCCAGCTGAAGCCGCTGGTCTCTTGGTCCACGTCCACGTTGAGGTCGCCGTCCTGCTTTATTGCTTGTATATTGAAGTGAGAAGAGGCGGAAAATATAATTCAATGGTACTTTACCTTTTTCTCTCGTCTGACACTCTTCACTTCCAATGGACATTTGTCAAGCGAGGACGTTGTCCAATCGAATGGCCATGGAATTCGATGGATGAACCTAGAATGAGTTTTAGGCTGTTGCAGTAGTTTGGGGGAAACCTTGTTTGAAAATGGCCCCAGCTGATCAGTCTGTTTAAACTCATCAAAACGAATTTTCTGATGGCTTGAGGGTGTGTTCATAGAGTCGCCAAGTGAAAACGAGCCTGCTAAGCGCTCTGTGAGTGGTGGAGAAAATCAGAAAGTTGAATTGCGTGACAAACAGTTTACACATCGAGACCTAAAACAGAAGTTCCCCCTGAACGGTGAAGACACATAGAGTACGAGAGTGATATATACCTTCAACCATGCCACCAGATGTGCCCCAATGGATCTCTCAGAACATCAATGTCTTGCTGTCCAACGTGCCCAATCCATCCTTAGCGATGCTGGATTGTCAGCGTCTGATCTCGATTACTCACCAACTACTAGCACCCGATCCTTGACCCCTACAACTTCGAACACGTCTCCTGCTGCATCATCCGTCGCCGTGTTACCCAGCACTGAGCCCTCCCCAATCGTTCAAGCTTCCAACTACATTCCACCGCCTGCGCGTCAGTTCACTGCAGACGAAATCTCACGAAATGCTCACCGTGTCAACCGGCAGACGACTGTCAATGCCATAGTCAAACATCCTCTCGGGGCAATCGTGGAGTATCCTGAAACTGGATCAGTCATGGGACAAGCAATCACGCACATTTTCTCGATATCTGCGAACTACATTACTCACGAGTTTGACAATCCTAAAGCTTCATTCCAGTACTCATTTGGTGACGGACATGGAGGCCGGAAGAACGTTCTCTGCCATTTGCTTCGAGATAGCACTGATGGCAAACCAGTTAAGTGCAACAGGATTTCGACGTCTTGTAAGTTTCGTCAATCTATGCATGAATCATGTCAGTGACGCTTAGTGATGTGCTTAGGTAAGGGCCTGAAGGCATGTTCCTCCAATACTGACACATTCATCAATGCCACCCATTCATACACCCACCGGGCACACATCAGCGAACTTATCACTCCTACAAGAGCATTTTCTCCCGCTGATGATTCAGCAGAACGTGAAGTTTTCACCAAGACATTTGCATTTTTCTGTGCACTTAAGGTACATGGCTGTAGTTTCTGTACCAGCACTGAGTTCACAGATTTCAACTTCAAGAATGACTCAAACATCGACCCCAATGACTACGAACGTGCTCTTGTGACTCCCACCGCCGTATCCTCACGCTCTCCAACATCTTGTTCGGGCAACCTTATCATGCGCACTGATAAATACAATCAACAATTCATCCAGTGAGTATATTGTCACCATCATTCTAATATTTGCTAATCCAATCACCGTGGCTGTAGATGTGAACATCGTTCACGTGCTGACCGGGCACATCTCATCCTTTGGAACCTTCAAGAATTCAATATCAACTATCTTCAAGCATTGCTCGCTCACGACATCGCAGCAATTATTATTCATGAAGAACATGCAGAACATTGTGGTTATGGACCCCTGGTGCCTTGCGATTTTGTTGCTTCGCCAGTCGAGCACAAGCAAACATGTGGTGAGTCATTTTTTTCAAACTCCCTGTCTCTCAGCTGATGTCGTGTTTGTGCAGCTCGTTGGCACAGGAACGCAGCTGGCATGTTGGAACGTGGTCGTCTCCTTAAATGGGAGCACGACTGCCAGTCAAAATTCAATATCTTTGTCCCTGTCAACCTCGTCGCTGTACCCCGCATCGCTATTGTGTGTCGCAACCCACACTCTCACCCACCACCTGCTCCAATCAAAACACCACCTCCGCTCATTGATTTGTTCAGGTCGTTGCTAATGGATATGGATTGGGAGCTTGCCGATGCAACTCCTAGACGTATTCTATGCGACTCTGGATTCATGTGGGGGCTACGTACGGCTTTGGGTTGGACACTGGACCACAGTCCAACTCTTGCCGACCTTCACCCATCTCTAGCGAATCTCGATCATGTGCACCGTCTCATGTATAAATTCCGTCATGACAAGTATCCAATGTGAGGTCGCGCGTTGCCTAGTCTGCTATACTTGAGACGACAAGTGCGTTCGACCCAAAAGGGGAAGCGAGTGCAGCAAGGATCTGGTAGTAGGCGCTGAAGGCGCTACTGGTCGGCCAATGCGAAGCGCGGGAAAGCGCGCAGGTGCGTGCAAGGAGCGGGAAAGCGAAGGTACGCGCGAGGCACGGGAAGTGCACGCGCGCGTGAGCGGAAACAAGTGAGAGTAAGTGTGAGTTTGCTTAAGTGGTGATATGATGCAAGACAAGAGATGCGAGTGCGAGGTACCAAGGAATTGATTGCAACTATACTCTGCTAGGTAGTAAGTGGGTGAATGGGAGGTAGAGTCTAAGTTCGAAAGTTTTTAATAGTATGTAATGCTGGCGCTTATATACGGCGCCTAAGCGCTGTCACGCGGAGCCGAAGCGCTACCGAGTAAGGTATGTAAAGCTATATGTAAGTAAGGGTCCATGATATAAATAAAGGTGGGATGATATGTAAATAAGGGAAATGGAAATACACGCACTAGAGAGCTTGGTGGACAGTGGATGGATGCTTCCGGAAGGCTGGCGCTATAGGGCGATCAAGCGCGGGAAAGCGCGCGCGCGTATACATCGTAAAGTGCGGGAAAGGTGCGCGCATGCTGCGCCTTGCGCGGGAAAGCTGCAGATAGCACACAGAGTGATGCTGCAAGTTCGTGCAATGAACTCTCTAGTGAAAAGTGCCATATCACACCATGAGAGGCATGAGTCTCTACACCGTCTCATTGTTTGTATGAGTCCCTTGATGTCGCGCCATCTACTGCTCGCACGCCGTGTGTCGATTGACACGTCATTCAAGCGCTTGCACGGCTGGCAAGAATTTGAGATTGAAGCATGGGACAACAACCACATGCGATGTAAGTTTATGTTCACGTCACTTGAATTCATCAATACTGATACTAAGTATAGCTCTTACGGGTGCACGAGCATTCATAAATTCACAATCTGCGCAGGCACACTTGGTTCTTTTCCGCCGAATCTTTTCAATCGCCAGCGAGGACACAGGAACACCGGTATCTTTCAAACACATCCATGGTAGTGGCTATGAGTCAGTAGTGGCAGATGCTCATATGGGTCAGGGTCTCGGTACATATTTTTTCCTTTCCTCAGCTTACAAGCAAGGCTGATGTGTTTTATGGTAGGACTTGGAATGTTTTGCTCAGAGCTTAGCAAAAACATCAAGACTCCATGCATTTACGAACCGCATCGCAAGTTATGCGATCTGACTCCCTACGATCACCTTCGCCGGTTCTACCGTTTGTGCGTTGTCCATTTCAAGAGGAACTTGCGGCCGCTTCAATCACAGGTGTCGAAGGAGGTATATAATGCCATGCTGAGTCTATCTTCATCGGATGCACATCCCAATTTTCAGAGGACACTCAGTGTCATCAGAGGTGGCGGCCGAAAAGCTGAAGCATGGCTTAAGGAAAAACTTCAGACTAACAAGTTCGCATTGCCCGCGCTATACCGTCCTGCGAGCTTCATACCTGAAGATATTTGGTGTGCATGCCCAACCACCACAAATGGCAACGAGCAGGCCCACCGCAACATCAACCGTGATGGGGTGCACTTAACGCTTCTCGGAGGTATCATGAGAGGCCGAGCCTTCGACGACCAAGCAGCACAGAGCATCGACGTTCATGCATCATTGGGCATCGGCACTCATGATCGTGATGCTACTCATGCCTACCGAGCCTCAAGAAGCATCACTCGTCAAGGTAATCTTCGTCTATGTCATTTACCCATTGTTTTGACAGCATCTTAGCCCTTTCACAGCGCCGTTGTGTCACTCAACATCCACATGATGACACTATGCATGTGCTGTCACAGCAACCAGCACCCAGAAGAATCCTACCCTTCACACCAGTACCATCCTACTCACTTTTCGATGCTCTTCGACCAGATGTCAAAGGTGTTCTGGAGCTGTGTCCATGGAGGCAACGTTCTGCACGCAATAATTGTCCCCGACAACGATCAGCCTATTCTAACAGCTATGTTAGTGACCTTGAGTACGCCCTCACACCTGGAGCTGGTATCATTGATTATTTCCCTCCCCCGTCTCGATGATGGCGCTAACCTATACACTTTCATACGCTATTTACCAGGACTATCTATACACCTTCATATGCTATTTACCAGGACTATCTATACCCAGTCATGATATCCCTGACACTTCGATACTCTTTGCTTCGAAATAACCAAAGTAAACTCCATTAATGCTGTCAAGTCTTTCTAGATAATCCGCTCAACTCTTCGCTTCAAATTAACCAAAGTAAACTCCATTAATGCTGTCGTAAGTCTTTCTAGATAATCCGCTCATCTCTCTGCCTCGAAATAACCAAAGTAAACTCCATTAATACTGTCGTCAAGTCTTTCTAGATAATCCGCTCAACTCTTCGCTTCAAAATAACCAAAGTAAACTCCATTAATGCTGTCATCAAGTCTTTCCAGATAATCCGCTCATCTCTTTGCTTCAAAATAACTCCATTACAAGTCTTTCTAGATAATCCGCTCAAGCTCGTTCATACCGACTCCATTCTTCCATCCCTCCCTAGTATCTCACTCCACAGGCGTAATACTCAGCTCCCTTCTCCCATATAGCCCAGATGTCGACAAGGTGTCTCTGCACAAGCCTAGCAGAGTAGCGACTTTTTAAATGGCACTACCTCCACTTCCCTCGCCACTTCTTTGTTACATTTTATTTTCTCAACTACTAGTCTGCTACTAATCTTAGTGTACACCTACCAACCCTCCAGGTCAACCAGGAAACTTCTCGCAGCTACTACCAGGGCAGCAGAGGCCCAGCGGCCCTCCAAGACCAAATGGTGCTGCGCCTCCATTCCAATCCCCAACGATGTCTCACTCTTCAAGTGGGAAATTTGGATGGGGTTTCACCCGATTTCGAGCATGGAGTAAGTGTTTGTCTATCATACTATGTTATTGTTCCATTGAGTTCATTCCCATCATTATGGCATCGTTTCAGACACCTCCATTTGCATGTGCTTTCTGCAGACTTGTATTCTCCAAAGATGAAGTCGAAGAAGCACTACAACTCGTTTCATCCTAGCTTGGGATTCTTTCTGCATTTGAAAGATGTTCTTTCGTGGTTCGATGCCGTGCCTTCGTATTATCAAAGAGTACGTTTCGCAGCAAAGAACACCTCATTCCACATTAATGACAGAATCTTGTAGATGATTAAGCTCGATGCCAGCCAGTATCAGTCGCTATTAAAGGACGGCGACCTTAGTTGCTGGCAGTGCGACCGTGCCCTGGAGAGCATGCCTAAGCTGAAGGCACATTTACAAGATGAGTTCAGTAAGCTGACGACGAGGGAAAAGGCGAAGTCAGAAAGGAAAAGGAAATGTACCAATGTACCCGTTTCATCCGTGCAGGCAGCGGTGACCGATGATGAGCGACCTGAGAAGGTCACTCGTTTAACACCTAGCCGAGGTGATGATTCCAGTGATCCAACTGTAGGTGTCGACCTACTGTCGTAAACAGGTCACCGGTGCTGTCTTTCCTGCAGTTACATAGGGTTATATACAACTGGGTGATGCCATCACAAATAAACTGAACCGAACGTCATAGGTCGGTCTGGGGTCCTTTCCTTGTGAATTATGTGAGGGATGTCCGTACCTTGTTTCCTCAGGGTTTGATGGAGCCGAGTAACGTCCGAGTGATAACAGGGTACCGGAAACCCCTTTTGCTCCTGCGAACCGGCGTGACAGTACTAGTCCAATCGAGCTAGACCAAATGCATTTTAGCTTGTTCAGAACAGGTTTGACTTGTGCCGACCAACTCAACTTTTTTTCTGTAGAAGCGAAACGAGTAACATATAACAGCCTGAAGCGAAGCGAAAATCTTGCAAATCGTGAGGCCATCTGCCTATAAAATACCTGCATGCACGCTATGACCTTGCATTGCTCACTGCAACAAGCTCCATGATGTTCACTTCACGCTTCACCATTCTTGCCGTGCTCACCCTCCTCGCTGGTGCCAACGCGGGATGCGCAACATGCCAAGAAACGTTGTATGACCGTGGTGTAGCGGCTTACGAGCTAGTCAGCACCTACGTGAAGTCTGAAAACGGATTCACGGAGTGCAGGTAAGTCACTCACATTTTCATCGAGAACCGGGGTGACGAACGGTCGGGCAGCTACGTGGATAAGGAGGGCGACGAGGTGAACTGCGAGTATATGGTACGTGATTTCTGGATGTTGTGCAGCTCATTGTTCTCGCTTGACATGCCGGTGGTCATCAGAATGTCGGTTTGTTGGAGGATGGAGATTCACTGTGTCCAGAATGGTCAAGGATGGATGGGTATGGATGCTAAGCAGGATGTGATGTGGAATGAGCTCGACGAGAGGAGCAACATTGGTCTGCAGAAAGTTGGGTATATCAGTAGATTTTGTCTGCGTCAAGAGTTCTCTTCATACTACGTGTTTTGCCTGGACCAGTTGGTGACAATCAATTGCTTCGGGCATCTTGAGATAATGAGTGCTCCTCCAGGCCTGTCAGTCAGCGTCTCAAATTCAAACTTGGGCGAGTATGTCCATTCACTATTTGAGAGAACGAATGGTGACATAATAGAAACTAAAAGTGACACACACATGCATATCTCTGAGTTCACTCATGAGGTCCAGGGGAGGTTGAAGCACATGCGTAGGGCATAGTAGCTTCTGGCATCAGGTAGCATAACACCTCGAACATCTCCATCTCACTTATTCCACCCTCATGGCAGCAGATGTCGTGCGCCACCATACCTTCACCAAAACACCCACAAACAATAACTGCGAAACTGCCCCCAAGTTACACATCACCGCCACTTGACTAGCATCCCCAAAGGATAATAAATGGGGCTGTGCGAAAAGTATGACTTCGCCAGTCTAAATGTATGCCTATCGGGTGAGGTATAGCTGTCGTTTTTCACAACTATCGTCACACCCGATGGCATATCCGCTAGGCACTGTACCGAAGGTGGTCGAGCTTGCCAGTGTAGAACACGTGTAGCACAGGGACTTGCATGATTCTCCTTGACGTCGGTGGACATATGAATGGATGAAGATGTTGGATGTGATACTTGGCTCTCCTCCTGTATTCATTCGCTATTGTTTGTGCAATAATTGAGGCCTGGTGGACAGAAAACGAGGAGGGATCGCTCTCTACCAGGCTACATTAATGTCATTATATGAGTGCAGGTCTCGCTCGAGGTGAAAGTCCCAACTCGCCGAGTCCGTGTATCCGGTTTCCTGACACGTGAACACTTGTAACACTCCACACTGTCACAAATTGTTCAACGGCCGTGGCCCGTGGATCCAAATAGCAACCGATAGAATATATTGCATGCATAACTCGAGCCGAGGCCCATCATAGGCTTGTGGGGACATCATTAGCCACAACATGGGCTGTGCAGACTGAGCAGAAACGAGTCAAACGATACAGCGAGATTGGGGGAAAGGACTCGGACATAGTACCCGATATTGAGCTTGAATGTGTCCTAGAATCTACATGAAGAGACAGTCTCAAGTTGCCATATACAATGATGTCATGATACCGTACTATGATAAGGGGAGCTCAGGCTAGCGCTCAGCGCTCAGGGTAGGCCGCTGTCCGCTTTCGCTGTTGCTGTACGTGAGTGAAAAGATATATTTACGAGCAGCAAATATATGATTGTGCTTATCAATAATTATAAGAATGACAGCTGTAGGGCACCGAGTGCGAAGTAAGAGGTGCTAGCCTACGAGAAACTTCAGCAGAAAAAAGATAATTACATTTAAATGACGAGCTCACGCTACAATTGGTGATCACTCAGTAGCAGCTTAGTGGACTAGAATCAAAGATTGCAAACTTTACTAGCTGTTCAAGTTATGTAGATTCGTGCGGACTCATGTTCGAGAACACGGTTGTTGGATAGCTGTCAAACTGATAATTGGTTTCAGAACCCAATTATCTCACGTACGAGAGCTGCCATAAGTACGTGCTGATATTTCTGAGGAGAATGTCGTTATAATGACTAGAACCTCCATGTAAATGTTTGTAAATGGGAGATTGTATCATCACGGTGGTATTGTGGTATGTTTTGATACTTCGCCCATATTTTACGTAAGTATTAATGTCGATGCAACGTTAACGTTTCGACTGCTTCTTAGTACATTAATACTTTGTCATCGATGAAATGAGTTTGATTGACTGACGTACCCCACAAAGCTCAAGCTCAAGTTCAAGTGCTCAAGTTCATGGAAGGAACAACTGTCTTCCTTCTATTCAAGAGTCTGCATAGCACTGGCACACGACAGGAAGCCCGAGCCCCACTGGCTAAAAAGTCGATCCCTTTCCCGCACTGTTTAACATTTTTCGTGCTACATAGTATATGGCATAGGACGGCATCTAGCCCTCGATGTTACTCTTGCGACCTCTATTTTGTGAGAGTGACTCCACAATTCTTTAGTTTGGAGGGTTCTGATTCTTTTCGCTCAAGTACAGAACTTTAACCTTAGGCCTTCTGCCTTGAGGTTACGTGTGCGCCTGAAGCTAAGGCGAAGCGGAAGTCTCGCAAATTGCGACGGCCCCAGTAATTCCAGCCTATAAGATACCTGCATGTTATGGCTTGACGTCCTTCACTGCAACAAGTCCCATTATGTTCACTTCCCGCTTCGCCGTCCTTGCGCTGTTCGCCTTCTTCGCTGGTGCCAACGCCAACGGGACATGTGCAATGTGCCAAGATACCGTGGACATCGAAGGTGTGGCGGTCTACACGCTAGCCAACAGCACCGTTGAGACCAGCGGGTACACACTTTGCTCGTACGTCATACCCTGACAATCTTTGTCAACCAAACTGACTGATGAGCCTGCAGCTACACTAATACTAAGCTGGGCATTAAGGTGACCTGCGAGTATTCGGTACGTGCTTGTTAGATGCTGTACAGCTCATTATTTTCGTCTGACACGCTTGCGGTTATCAGAGCGACGGCGCATTCCAGGATGGGGATGAATTGTGTCCGAGTAAGGTGGGTACGTATTCATGCTGAGCAGGATGTAGAGTGGAAGCAGGCCGACGGGAGTAGCAATCTTGTCCTGCAGGCAGCTGGGCAGCATCAGTGAGTAGATTCCATTCGTTACAAGAAATTCCTTACATTAACTTGAATTGACCAGTTCGTAATAATCAATCTCATAGTTGTATGCGATTCTAATGAGATTCATGAAATTTCGGTACCGCGCAGTGTAATGAAAAAGTAAACCAACAGAACACCAGGGAGACTTCCTGTAACTCGTACGAGTTTTTCAAACACTATCGGCCCTTCATACTACTTCCACTACGTGTCATACACATTTCTACGGCAAAACCAATTTGAAAAAGCCGACAATCCCTGTCAGCCCTCGGCTCAATTCTGCAGTTGGAGTGATGACTGGACTCACCTGTGCGCACCATATATCAACGTTTCAAATTTGTTGTTTTTGATATTGCTGTTAAATAACGTCCGAAGGGGATTTCCTTTTTCGCCACAGGTGCGGGAACCGCTAGTGTAGAGGGCAGCCCTACTAATGGAATGTAGCACAAGATCTTAGCGAGACGTGATAACGACGCTGAGGTGAAACTATGTTGAAGAGAGAATATAAGTAGGAAGTCCGAGACAAAAGAAGCTGCCGGTGAGCATCAGTACCGGTGAGAGCGACATATGGTGTAGAAGGTGATGCATAAGAACTAGAAAAGGTAAAGAAGCTCCGGAGCGCTAATCCTCCCGGCCCCTCCGGAGTTGGTAACATACGAACGAGTATCGTCTACAATCGTCAACAGAACGGCGGGAAAGTACTTGGATGATGGCAAAGATTATCTGAGCTATTACACAATACTCATACGGTACTGGTGCATCGATGTTCCACCTACTGTCGGCAATTGCCATTGATGGAGACTTCTGCCACTGGCGGTGGAGAGTGCAGGTGGAGCTCAGCTACATGGGAGTCATGCAAATTACTTACACGGTGCCAACCTTGTGACCGTAGGCAAATAAATGTGACGCAACACTAGCACCTTAATCGCGGCGTCATTCATTTCATGTATGCGCCTATATTCTGAACAGTATTGTGCAGCGTAGCATGCAAATATCCACAAAGGAGGGAACAGCAAACGCGCATCACGCCGAGGCTCCAAATAAGTCGGTATATTCTACGACCAACACATTAATTCAAGCAAGTGGTATATAGCGCCTTGCGCATCGTCCGTGCGTATATGCATATGTAATTTTCAGGTGTAATCACTCCACCAAGCTTCCGATGCGCACGTCAGTCTAGTTCAACAAAGCATATCCAACCCAGAAAAAACTCACCTAACCTCAGCATCCCTCCCATCGCGCACCTGCAAACTCCAGTGATTCTCAACGCCCAGAACCCGGTGGTAGGCATTGAGGTTCTTGTGCAAGGTGAGTTGGAAGACACTGGCACTACCTTGGCGGGAAATGATGGTGCTGTAGGCGAGGAAGAAGACCCAGATTCGGTACCAGCGTTCACCGTATTTGTCTACGACCTAGGACACGTCACGTCAGCATCGCGCGGGTAGAGAGAGGATGGGCAGGTCAAGAGCGAAAGGGGAAAAACGGACACACCTCCTTGCGGTTGCTAACCCAGTTCAAATACCACCTCCAGATAGTAGCGCTATAATGTACGCCCAAAACATCAATATTCTTCACTTCAAACCCGGCGGCTTCGACTTGGTTGATGACCCAGCCGAGAGAGCAAGAAGCGTCCGCGCCAGGGAAGATGTATTTATTCATGAAGAGACCCCTGCGTGGTGTTAGCGTATGATATGCCAGACGACAACTACACCTACCAGATGAGGTCCTCGTACTGCCACGAAGGACGGATACCGGCGACTTGGAGGACGAAGATGCCGTCGTCTTCGAGGAGGTCGTACATTTGACGCATAAATGAACCGTACCGCCTAATTCCGACGTGCTATTGAACGTTAGACGTGAAGATATTAAGAGTACGTAGTGCTTACCTCTGCCATCTCAAGAGAGACTATCTTCGTAAAGTGCCCTGGGCCGCCTGGGATATCCCTATAGTCCATGCATAGGATACGAGCCTTGTCGGGGGTAACACCGTTGGTCTTGATGCGTTCATTACCGAACTTGGTCTGGTTTTTGCCGAGGGTGATACCTGTGACGTCGCATTTGTAGTTTTTTGCCGCGTAGGCTGCGAGTGTACCCCAGCCGCAACCGACGTCGAGGAGACGGTCATCAGGTTTCAGGTTCAGTTTGGAACATACGAGGCGGAGTTTGTTGTCTTGAAGTTCTTCGAGGGATGCGTCTTTGTTGGCATCCGTGATGACGCCGGAGGTGTAGATCATGCGTGGACCGAGGAACCTGTGGGGTATTAGAAAGAATATCGTTGAGTTGAGGAGGGTACGTACCATGAGTAAAAGTCATCGCCTCCTGCATGGTTGGAGTGAGTAGAGTGATTGAAAAAGTAGAGGAAAACTTACTGTCGTAGTGGTCGCGAACCTGTTCTTCGTCTTGAGATTGGGAGTGAACGATGACCTCTGGAAGGAGATTCGTGAAGACGTATTTGAAAAGTCCAGGCGTCATGACCATTTTTGCCCAATCGTGACGGTCTTCCAAGATGTCCAACACGTCGCCTGTGCACGTTTGTGAGCATCATAGCAGACACGTAAAAGATAAATATTACCGTTAAAGTCAATCTTGCCCTCAAAGTACGCGTCGTGGAAGACCTGCATTGGGATTTTTGTGTTGCCGTGGTATTTTTCCTTCAGCTCCGGGTCGTTGATAGTGATGTAGTCTTCGAGGTCTTTACCAGGCATAAGAACTTTGACGTTTTTACGACGGCCGTAAATGCTCGCTACGGCCCAATAACCGACGGTGATTGGGATACCTGTGATGACGAGAATGAAGATATATGTCTTGAGACCGCCACGGTTTACAAAGGGAAGGATGCGTTTGATGACCCATGGTATGACGACGACGAGCGCGGCGAGTTGAACATTTGAGAAGTAACCGTTGCCTTCTGCTAGACCAAGTAACGGTGCATTTTTGATGGAAGGGACGTTCGTGATACGAACAGGTGAGAACGTCATGGATCCTCGCCGTGGCTGCTGGTCTAGCAAATTGGAGAGAAGCCAGTTTTTATGTTTTGGCGCTTATGTTTTGTTTGCATTTGTTTGTATCAAGCGCGTATAAGTTGGTCTTAAGTTAAGACCGCCACTCGCGTCGTTTCGTGGACTCCAATTCCAGCCTGCATAAATTTGTCTTAGAAGTCGAACGGAGGCGTACTGAAGACTAGGCATGAGATCAAGGCAAACGGAGTTTAAGATGTGTTACTCGCTGTAAAAGACTAGCTGATACAGTTTTACTGGCATCGCCAGTTCAACAGACAGGCCTTGTTTGTCTGCATGTGAGAGCAGAGCATGATGGATCCGAGGCACAATTCGCTCGACGAGTCTCCTGGAGAAACCAAACTATTCAATCAAATTTGAGTCTGACTCACGAGTGTTGGGGTTGATTAATGATTGGCCAGGACAGCGCTTTTTCTAGCGCAGAAGTACTAGGGCGAGTATGAATTGATCACATCTAATCACGAGACCATCGCTGCCGAAGTTATGGCTTCTGTTCGTGACCGTACAGACGTCAGAACGCTAGAGGTGAACATTCATTTTCAAGAACGGAGGTTTCTGATATGTTTTTATTCATCCTTGACAGTACTCATACGCCGTGGCTATTGTTGCAGGCCTGGGACAGTGGTACGCTCATCCCTGAAACCGTACCTTCACGGCTCTTCCATCAATAAAACGTGTTTTCCCCACCTTCAGCGATAGCAAATATATCGAATTGAGGACGAGGGGATTTCGGACCGCGCACTACCTAAGCAAGTTTTGTTGGAAGTCACCCGAAGAACAAACGTCGAAGATATCAGTTACTGTCGATCTTACGCCACTTTGTCGTCTCACCTTGTGCAAGAATGCATTTTCGGAGAACGCTTTGAGGCGTTTCATAAGGTAAGTAAGTGTTGGTCTCCAGTCCGTTCGTCATCTCATCTCGTGCAAAGACGTTTTGCCGGATCATGCTACCAAGGGACAGCCCTTTAAAACTGTAAATTTCCTGTGCTTGTATTGGAAAAGCGGTTTTGTCGACAGAGTTCATCAACGATCCGGCCGACGGTTGACCCGTCTCTCAAGGTACTGAAGCGCCCTCACAACTCAGTGTTCTCAACGAATCAGTAAACCTGGTGTGTCATTACTATTGTACTAGCAATGATAGATGGTCGAATGTATATATGGGGAGAAGCCAAAGCAATCGATGAAGATGGCAGTAACGATGTCATTTGGTGAGATTTTCAGGTTGCCCATATCTGCACTCTCATGTGGGATTGATGTATCGCAGCTAGACGTGAAGTCACACATTTATTTGAATGCGTTCTTGAGCCTCAACAAGATATTTCTGTACCCCAAACTTCCAACCTAGGCTATTACCTCAGCACCAGCCAGTTCTAGTTACAGGGTCAGCTGTCACGGTAGTGTATCACTATGACATTATTAACACGGCAAGCAAGAAGAGGGCTCACCCTTTCTTTCCTCTTTGCGAGTGAACCACCTGTTGGGACCTACACCTCCATCGACAACAGCACAGCATTCAATACAATTGCAAGTGTCCAGTGGAAAAAAAATGGCATGTTCCTGTTATAACCTGCGAGTCGTCTGCATTCATACTTTTCTGCAAGTATGCAGTCTAAGATCAAAATATGGGTATGGTCACCAGTCTGGACACATGGCCCACCAAAACTGGCAGACATAATCATAGTGGTGAGTGAGACGAACTTCATTGTAGCACTTGAGGATAAGTCTTGACTGTTAAGACCATGCACAAAGGGTAGGACTGATTCCAAGGGGCTTGGCTTCAGCTTGTGCGCTGCACCCCTTACCCGAGTATGTGCCCTTAACTTCAGAATGAAGTCCGGAGAAAGTCCAGTGAAGTCCGAAGGACTTCCAGAGAAGCATGGGAAACTTCGGAAGGACTTTCCAGACGAGTGTGAGAAACTTCTGGATGAGTGCGGGAAAGTTCCGGAGGAGCTTCCGGAAATTACGATGGAGTTTCATCCTGACAGAGATATGTGTAATGGCTACTCAGGACGAGTCCTGAGTAGAAGGAAACAGAGGAAAGGCTGCAAGGACAAAGTCCGAAGCAGAATAGGTCCAGAGGACCGCGGGAAAGTTCCGGAGGAACTTCCGGAAACTCGGAGGAATGGAGGATCGGATGAGTGGATGAGCGGAGGATCAGAGGATCAGAGCTCTGGCCTAGAGAATTCCTCCCTAGGCCTGAGATGGATAATGACTAAGTTGGAGGACTAGAACTGTTACGAGGACTTAGGGTGAAGGCTAGTGCGAGGACTAATATGTGTAATATTCAGACTGAGGAAGTATAGAGACTTTACAGGGTTTATATACTACAAAGGACATAACAGAGAATCAGTCAGTGCAGTGCGAGGCTATGTGAGGCTATGGATGGAGCATGTAGAAACGTCTAACACTAGTCTATAGGAAAATAGTAAACGAAGACAGAAATGAGAACATAGTAAAATAAAGGCGGAAATGAAATGAGGTACGGAAAATGAGTATAGTCTAACTTGAGAAGGAACGTACAAAGGGAAAAGGCACGGAAGATAGACGCGGGTCGGATCAGGATGTTGGCAAGTCCAGAGACAGGTGATTACCATAAGGGGATGGGCGCTGATTTAAGGTTTGAGTTTGGACATGACAGATAGGTCAGATCCAGAGATGTGGATGTCAAATCAGATGTCTGGACATCGGATCCGGATGTCCGGATGAGGTGTGGGAACATCGTCAGATGTAGGTCTGGAATACGGGATATGACATTGACTCTGGATAGTGTTCTTTGTTATTGGACTGAAAGAAAGCTTCTTGAGTGGTGTGAGCATGCTTCAGAGAGCTCAAATTACGTCTCGCCACTGTGTGGAGTGCTGCTGAGCATTGCCAAGCAGGATTCAGAAGGACTGCAAATTTCTCACCTCAGGACCATCAATTTATGGAAAGCAGGACCACCGCGCTCTATTTGTCAGCCAAAATCGTACTATATAAGGCAGGAGCTTCTCGAGTACCCCGTACACCGTAAGAAGTTTGTTTTGTTGTACAGTCCAAGAAATACCGTGCAAGAACGTTCAGATAATATTCTAAGAAGCAATTGGACCATCTTCCCTACATCTGACTTCTCCAGCTCCTGTCTCCTCTGTGCTTTCGTCTTCTGTTGTCGTGGCGAAGGGCACCAATCCAAACCCTGGCCACTCACAAAACTCATTGCATTTGTGCTGTTTCTCAAACATGCTAACCGTGCATTCCATATTCCCCTTGCCAAAAAGATCCTTCCCTTGGCCAACCGACCTAATCAAAAAATTATATAAGCAAGCATGGAATGACATATTGATGCATGGGTCTGTTAGGATCTGCGGGTCTGTCAGCAGCTCTGTGCTTCCTATCAGGATATCTGAGTCAGTAGTGTATCGAGCTGCAAAGCAATGAATTATCTTGATAGTCTGAGATGAAGGCCAAGCCACCCGTCTTTACATACTGCACATGTTGCGTGAAAGAAAAGAACAAAGCTACTTCATAGCCATAATCATCTTGATCGAGCAGAGGATTAGAGTCCATGTTGTGAATGAACTTCACAAAAACGTCTGGCCCGCCTTCAATAAGCTCCTCTACAAGATATCCCACACACGATGAGCCTGTTTTTGAGCCTGCCTTCGTAGGTTTGGAATCACGTTGAGAGTAAGAGATTGCCAAGCCAGCGTCAACGAAGCGCACACGAGGGATGTTAAATGGTGGAGGTTCCTCAGAGGAGGCAATACAGTGATCGATGAAGGCGTATGTGAGCTGTAGGAGAGAATGAGCCCAATATAAAACATTTGCTTCCTTGCCAAGCTTGGCTATTTTGTCGATTGAAGAAAAACAACCTATTTTGTACATAAGGCTTGAGGCAGATGGAAACACCTTATGAAACGGTCGCTTTACTGCAACATTTTGACCAGGAACCGATCCTAGCCCACTTTTAACAAGAGGAGTGAGAGAAAGCCAACCAGGATGAGCAGTCTTAAATCCACCAGCCCCCAGCATGCTGCACATAGATGAATTGACTGTCAGCTGTCCGATTATCGCCTGCACCAGTTCTACCTTAAAAGAACGATAATTGAGATTCTTACTAAGGATATCTGCAAGCGGACGAGTGGGGATCCCATAGAAATGAATGTTCTCAGTGTATGTGCCAAGCACTGCAAGAAAAACAGTAGAAAAACAGTTAACAGTGCATCACTGTGAACAGGATGCCAAACTCACCTTGTGCAACATCAAAGTTTGTTGCACTGCCTCCACTCCACAGTGCTTCCTTTAGGTCGCTGCGATCAGGCAAGCTAAACAGCGCTTTGGGTGGCGCAACTGCAAGCTTTTTGTGAGGTGGTGATGAAGATGTGGTGGCGGTGCTCAGATTGTTCCTGTGGGACCATTTGGTAGACTCAAAGGCACTTGACGATGTAAGATTTTGAGTGGATGCGGAGGTGCTTTGCAATACAGTAGAGACCTGTAGCATAGATATGAATCATCTGAACTGCTGCCAGGTGTAAAACAAACTTACGTTCTCCGTTGTTTCTACCCGATGTTGAACTTGAACTTGACGAGTGGTGACCTGTCTTACCTCCTCCGCTTTTTCTACCCATTCCTCATACTCATTCCATTGAGCCTCCGGAACAACGACCATCAGCGCAAATTGCTTGGTCTTGAATGTGGGTGCCTTCGATCCTTTCTTGCTTGGGACCATGCATTGCGAGATGAAATATGGGACCGAGGCCTTGTGCGTAAAGAGGTCAACCCATACTGCATCTCGGACAACAAACTCCTCAATACGCCATGGGAATCCTGCACCAAAAGTCAAAATATTAGGAAGGATAGTGTCGAATGCAATATCCATGAGCCCAGGAGCATCAATGCGTGCGTCAACATCTTTTTTGCCTTCTTGGATATTCTATGATGATTGATGAGTGAGTGACATGCTGGTTGAACAAGTGATGCTGAAAACAAACCCCAATCACAACCCAATGTCCTTTCCTCCGTGCACCGACCTCATGGACTGCCGAAATGTCGAGTGTGATGGTTTCCATTGGTGGAAGTGCATATGAGAGTTTCGACCAACGCTCACGCTCGGTGCCATACTGCACATGATTTACCAAATAGCCTGAGCCTGAGGAGCGACTTGGCTGCCCATGCTCGGTGCCATACTGTGCATGATTTACCGAATAGCCTGAGCCTGAGGAGCGACCCGGCTGCCCCCATGATGATGGGATAGTGATGTCTGGCCCAGTGGAATGGGTCATTGACGGTGGATGAATGCCACGACCAAATGCAATAACAGGAGGGGGGTTAACTGTTGCTGTGTGTATGAGTCTCGGTCAGATCTAGTGCACTACACAAACAGTAATCAACGACAAATGTACATTTCCTCTGTGCGGCATTGACAGTTTGCCGGATCGTGCGTGGGTCAGGGAAGGTATGGGAGAGCTGCGGCTGCGGAACAGATCTACCAGTGGGTCTCACAGATGTGGCTGGCATGGTTAGATAGTGGGAATGGCATGGACCGCAGACATAGCGGCCAGGTTTGCCTGGGTTGACGGTACCAACATAGAAGCAAGGATCCTCCGAGTCGGAGGGCGCTTGGGCTACAGTGCTAATTGATTAGTTGCGATTGACATCATTAGACCGCAGATCAAAGCTTTCCATTATGTAGGTGGCTCAAAGTAGCCGCCTAACTTCGCCTGTGCCTAACTCTGCCTAACCTAGGCGTATGAGATAAGCAAGCAGTGGAAAGCTTTGATCCACGGTCCTTGGCAGCACGGATGATGGGTAAGGCGGCTGCAGCATCATCTACATTAGCTTCGCACCTTACCTCTCCTCATGCTCCCTTATCTTCATTCTGCTGATTCAAGCCAAAGATACCAGCATGTTCATGCGACTCTATTCTTGCCGTTGGGGTGCAGGTTCTGCCGATTCAAGGCATAGGAGCGGTGGGTAGGTTGTACACCGGTTGGAATCCTGTATGCAGGTCAGTGCTCTCCTGTTGTCATCATCATTCTTCCTGAAAATCTGTTCAATGCATCTGGTCACGCTCTGGTTTTCTGGTCACGCTGGTCTAGTGGTCTGGGAGTTTTCCGATGACGAAGATGGACATGTGGTTGACGAATGGTAGTCGGATTGACAATAAGACTTATTATGTAGTGTGCGTGATATTGGAATGTTGCGCACAAGGGATCCCTGACTCCCAAACGCATGCTTCTTGTTTCCTTCCCATACGATTTCCAACATGGGATGACCTATACCGTCAATTATTGGGTGAAACAACATCAACCCAATGACTACACAGCCAGCCAGCAAGATCTTCGACATACTTTCAACACGATGCCCAATGAAAAACTTGATGTCATTCGGCATGATACCACCGATGACTAGGCAATGACACAGGTATACCCGCGGGTGTCGCCAGTATCACCCGCACCCGTACCCACAGGTATACCCACACCCGCATGGTGGGTGTGGGTTTTATGGTGGGTTGGTAGGTATCCCATCCATCCTCTCCGCTACCTACATGAGGGAGAGAGCGTAAGTCTGGCTGCCGAGTCCTGTTTGGAAGCAGAGGAGTTAGCTCACAACGAGGAAGAAGCACGCACCTGCCATCTGGCCTTAGCGGCCACTGAACCGGAACCAACACTGCAGCAGGCACTAAACGGTCCAGACGCTGTTGAATGGCAAGAGACGATTGATTATGAAATCAGCCAATTGGAGAAGTTAGGCATGTGGGAAATAGTAAGTCCGCACTCACATGTCAACATTATCCCATGCCATTTCGTCCTTGCCACCAAACGCGGTCCGGATGGACAGAAACTCAAACTCCGTGCTCACCTCGTGGCTAACGGCCAACGTCAGCAAGAAGGTGTCGATTATTTCGACACGTTCGCGCCTACCTCCAACATGTCGACCATCAGGACCGTCCTAGCCATGGCCGCGGAGCGCGACTGGCAGATCCACCAAGTGGACATCAAGAGCGCCTACTTGTACACGGAGCTGAAGGAGGAGGTGTACATGCGTGCACCCCCAGGGTACCTAAAAGAAGGTGATGAGGGAAAGATTTTGAGGTTGAGGAGAAGTCTGCCGGGGCTGAAGCAAGCAGGGTACGAGTGGGCCGAAGAACTTGCTGGTGTGTTCCGAAAAATTGGCTTCACGCACTCACAGGTTGATCAAGCCGTCTTTTACAAATGGGACCACGACGAACACATGGTTGTCACCGTGTCCGTCGACGATATGGCAGTTACCTCAAAGCACCTCACTCATATCACACGTTTCAAAGCTGACCTGCGCAAGTATTTCGAAATCACGGACTTGGGCGAACTCAACTGGCTACTCGGATTAAAGGTAGAACGGGACCGCGTCGCACGCACCATCACCTTCTCCCAAAACGCCTATGTCAACACTGTCCTCGAAAGATTCAACCTATCCGACTGCAAATCGTCCCAAACGCCCATGGATACCAGCGCCGTATTGACCATTGACCAATCTCCCTCGACCCCAGCCGAGCACCACACGATGCGTGACGTCCCGTACCAGCGCGCCATAGGTTCGCTTATGTATGCAGCGACTAGTATGCAGCCAGACATCACGTTTTCGGTAGCCACTCTCTCCCAATTTATGAGGAACCCCGGGCACGCGCATTGGGAAGCAACCAAGCGCGTGATGCGCTACTTGAAGGGGACAGCAGACTATACACTCACCCTAGGCACGACAGATGGAGGGTTAGAGGCGTACATTGATGCAGACTGGGCGTCCCAGCCGCATCATCACTCAATTTCCAGGTATGTCGTCTTGCTGAATGGTGGACCTATTGCGTGGAGTGCCCGCAAGCAACCACTCATAGCACTGTCCACCGCTGAGGCAGAGTACATAGTGTTGACTACGGTCACGCGTGAATTGCTGTACCTGCAGCTTCTGATCGAGGAGCTCTATGACGTGCCCTGTACCCCTACTCCCATTTACTGCGACAATCAGGCTGCTATAGCCCTTGCTTCCAAGCTGAAGTTCCACGCCCGTACCAAACACATCGACATTCGTTTCCATTTCGTACACCAGCACATCAAAAACAGCACGTTCTCGTTGCTCTATTGCCCAACAGAGAACAACGTAGCCGATGCCTTTACGAAACCCCTCCCGCGTCCTCGCCTCCAGAAGCTGAGAGCATCGATGGCGCTAGGTTCTGCTCGAGGGGGAGTGTTGGGATCCGAAACGGCCGATCAAGAAGAGGAATGAGTATAGGCGAGCGCAACGTACTAGCGAGTCGAGCGAGTGACGCATATGACGTCGGCCGATATCTTTTTCGTTATATTCCACTATATTCCTATGATACTGAAATTTTCTGTTCCTATGCACACTAGTATAAAGGTTCGAGTACGAACGACACGACATCTCAGTTCTATCAAAGATACTGAGATGTACGTATATCTGATTCTATCTACCTTACGACGAACTCACAAAAGACTTAGTATCATCATTGTTTAGGTACTTGTCATGTAGCACACAGAGTTCTATCAAAGATACTGAGATTATCATCGTCGTTTAGCGTCCCGCGTGTCCCCCGCTCGTCTCAACTCTCTACAGTCATACATTCGTACATGGACATATGTAGCTGGTACTAAGTCATGAGGTTACATTTCAATGGCTGGTTGTGACAGCCACAGAGACAGTCGGGAAAACCAGGATTCGAAGCTGGGGAAAATAAGGACAGTTGAAAAACATCTATATTAGGTACGTAGCAGGACTTACTCTATTATATTTTAGCTCTGTCTCTGCGGTTTCCGGAGTCCTGCACCAGAAATGCTGACAAATAGAGCGCGGTGGTCCTGCTTTCCATATCAATTTTCTGGTCTGAACTGTGTAGTACGCAAATCGATATAAGTGACATGCATGTTTGAGTACAAAAATTACTGTTTTTCTGTCATCTCAGGGATTTTATTTAGAGATGAGGTCTGATGGTTAAGCTTAAGGATAGTAGTGGGGAATGTATAGCCTACATGTTTTTGCAGGCAAGCATTATGACAGCTCCACAAACTGAGCTAATACACGACACGCACCAGTCTGTTGCAAGTGAATTGGTGGACACAGGACGAGGGTTCATGCTACATACACCAACATCCAGAGCTTGTGTGGCTGAAGTGAGCACCATAGACCTGTCCGTGTAGTCATTGGAGATGTCATTATTGGATATCTGGGATGTGCAAGAGTGTTGAGCCTCTTGCCTCTTGAGCTGAAGTGACATAATGGGCTGTCATCAAAGGCGATGCGGTGGAGGAAAAGGAGAATAGGCTAACTATACAAGTGAAATGCACTATTTACGATTCCACCAATTTGCAGAGAAGACAGTGTTTTCATGGTTGGCCTGTACCCTAGTGTGTGTAGGTCCAGGTGTAAGCTGCAAATTCATGAAGCTGTCTATCTACCAGAGCTATCATTTAAATAACAGCCAGTTAGGGTGTTATACTTGTAGCATCAACGGAGATCTGGGCTAGTGACTTGGACGGCAAGGAAGAACTGCAGCAGAGCTTACTCATTTGAAAAATATCGGGAAAGCAGATTATTTCTATGAAATTTGGACACAAGCTTGGCACCAGCGAGTTCTCATGGAGCTACATCTATATCGTGTTGCCATGGTGCATCAGGTTGTTGAATTGGACACACAGCAGATGTATGATGTTTTGGGTGACCATCCTATATATAAAAGCAAAGCGATAACTTTCAGTTCAATAACAAAGAACATCATCCAGAATCCAGACCCAGCCTCAAGTGGAACAATGAAGTTCATCTCAATCATCACTATGATTATGTCTGCCGCAGTACTGGCGGGGATCGTTACAGCACAAGGCCCTACCGGTATGCCATGCAACCAGTCTTCAGCATACCTGGATTTTGATCTTAGACTGCACACTTACAGGTGCTCGCAGAAAAGTATAGTGCAGATGAGTCCCGGTGTAGAGACTGACATCTCTGTGGCCTCATAGAGGTCTAATTTCCGATGCATGTATCAATGCTAATCATTACCCGAATCATTCCCTATCATATCTGACTCAATACGCACCGAACCCAAAAATCATCGGACATCGGACATCGGATTATGTTACGCACTCAAATAGGTCTGTTATGCGGAGCCCTAAGAGGGGCATCGTCCACTAACGTTCGTGATGTAACTGGAAGGGTCCGGTGTAGGACATGAGCTGGCGCTGGGCTCGTATCGAGCTATTTCACAGTACACGTCAAATACCCGTCACATGCTAATCACTTCCCGATGTTATCCGACGCTAACCCGCCAACCTGACGTTTAGGCCGCATCGGCCGATGCAAATTCCCGTGCACTCGTCCTTCCCGTGTCTTGTCCTGTCTTGCTAGCCCCACTAGGTACGTAGTTCATTATTTCACACATTACTCACGTCATAGCAAGCGCTATTACATGTTTTCCCATAGTCCGCAGCGCCTCATGTTTATTTACATGTACTTCGGATCCGAAATCATCGGCCGCTACCTTCGCCTATGGGTTCCACATTTCTACGTACTTACATATATATTGGACTGACCTCGAGCATTATTCATTATCCAAGTAGAGGGGAGCAGTTCCCCGACGCTTAGTGGTCAAACCCGATATTTCGTAGTTCTTAGTTGACATTGCGAATATCATCGTTCCTTCACCGCCCGTATCAGTAATTGTTATTATTGCGCACACCGCTCGCTCTTCCGACGCTCGCTATAGCGTTACTATTAGTTTCTGACACCCAAACCCGAACCCGATAACCCAAAACCCCGAAACCATCGGACCCAACGCTTTTGCATCGGACATCGTAATTATACCTTTGGACATTGTTTCCCGCGCTCGGACTATTGACCCCACATCACTCACTTACCCCCAAGGCTATTCCCAGACCGCAGACCCCTGGGTCGAACGCACTTGTCAGGCAAGTATAGCAGACTAGGCAGTGCAAAGACCATAACACAAATATATCAGTTTGGAGCCATCTTCGTATAGCCCCACTCAGTATTGTTGTTTCTACACCGGTATAGCGAGTGAGACTGGCGACGTCGAGTCGGCAGATATCACAGACGCGCGTGTCACGTGACTTCTAAGACAGCTGTCTGTGAAGTCACTGGAGTCAAAGAGAAGACAGTCTTGTCCTCACGATGACTGTCAATCGAGGTAGACTTAGATGCAACGAGCACCTAAGAAAGTCGTACTAGAGACAAGAGCTGAGAGGCTCTTGAAGGAAGTAGTTTTGAGGGAAGATTGAGTAGATTCAAGTTAGGGAATCTAATACAAGATGACCAACTACTTATACTAAGTGGAGAGGGTTGAGGGCTGGGTTACCGTACTGTAGGTAAGGGTAAAGGGGAAACAGAAAGGG